AAATTCAAAATGAATATACATGTACTTAGACCTTGTCACCCTGGTATCATTTAAATGTAATTTTCAGCACTGAAGCACTGCGACGTATATATTACAGAAGTTATGTTGTAAATGACCCTCTAGTGTGTCACACTGTGTTTAATGTTACCGCTAAACTGACATGTTTCCTGGATGTATCGAGTACAATGTATCTAACACATTCAATATTTATTACATTCGCGCTTATAATCTACATTGTTTCCTAGCAAACATTGTCATGTTAACTAATGGTATTTTACTGGTATTCAATATTTAATATGAAACTTAAATTAAACTTAACTTAAATTACAACAGTTTAAAGCCCCATATATGATTTATTCTATTCAATTTGGAAAGGTATTCCCAAATTTGGGTTTATTTTTTTTTCACCATTTAACAGCAATAAATTTAAAAAGGATGTTTTTACATGCCATGTTTTAGCCCCCAATGTCACAAAGGGAAAAATGGCCCGGGTTAAAAAGAGACTCAAAACCCCAAACCCCCATTTAAAAATTTTTACGAGACTCTACGGACTGATTTCTTTTACATTTTTATTTTTATCTAGTTCCGTTAAAATATTCAAAAATTTTTTCAAAATTAATTTAAAATCGCCCGGATCAAAATTTTTTTAACCTATTTTAGTAGCTTTCCCGCAAACCATTTTCGGACTTTAAAAAACAAAAACGTTGTTAGGGCTATTTTCTCGAAATTTTTCTCACGCTCGGGAATTAAAAAAAAGGGGGTCTGGGGTAATGTTTTGAGCACCCCTAAAAGGGAGGCATTATATGCCCGAAAGTGTTGTGGTATTTTTCCAGTAAGGATGAAGCATTTGTAAGACATGCAAATTAAATAAAGTATTTCCTCCTTCAAAATGCAATCCTCCTTTAAAGCTGAAGAACCTTCATATATATAAATATACAGTTGCTGTTTCCAAAGCACCACCATCAAGTTGTTATCTTGTAAGTAAAAATACTTCGACAGATGGACAGAAAGACGCCAGGGGTATAACATAATATAAGCAATTTTTTAGGGCATATGATTAATGTACTCAATATAAGTGATCATCCTATGAAGTTATACAGTTGTAAAACTGTTAACAATATTAAGGTCATTTGATATTAACCTTGTGGGCCAAATAGAACTTAAGTAATGCTCCAGAAACCACAATTTTCAGTGTAAAGATCATTGTGACCCTGAACTTTGACCTTATGACCCTAAAATCAATAGGGGTCATGTTTTGGACTTGGCTGTTCATCCTATAAAATTTTACAGCTGTAGGTTGATTAATACTTAAGTTATTGAGCGGAAACTGTTTTCAGGTAATAGTGACCTTGACCTTTCACCTTGTGACCCTAAAATCAATAGGGGTCTTTTGCCAAATATGGACAATCATCTTATGAAGTTTGAATATTGTGGGCCAAATGGAACTTAAGTTTAGTCTGGAAACTGTTTTCAGTATTACGATAAGAGTTACTTTGACCTTTGACCTCGTGACCCCCCTAATCAATAGGGGTCTTCTACCAAATATGGACAATCATCCTACGAAGTTTGAATATTGTGGGCCAAATGGAACTTAAGTTATGCTCCGGAAACTGTTTTAAGGTAATAGTGACCTTGACCTTTGTGACCCCAAAATCAATAAGAGTCTTTTGCCCAATACGGACAATCATCCTATGAAGTTTGAATATTGTGGGCCAAATGGAACTTAAGTTATGCTCCGGAAACCAAATTGCTAACATATGGACGGAGGGACAGACAGACGGACGGACGCAAGTGGGTATAACATAATATGCCCGAAATTCTTTGGGCATATAAAAAGGAAGATCTCATTCACAAATTTTAAAGGATATTTGTATCAAAACAGTAGCCACTAGAGTGTTAACAAGATTTTTCTATTTTCAGCTCTTGTGACCTAGTTTTTCATCCGAGATGATCATGTTTGAACTTATCTGAGCAATTATCTAGACAAGCATCCTGACAAAGTTTGATGATGATTTAGTCAAAAATGTGACCACTAGAGTGTTAACAAGGTTTTTCCATATTTGGGCGGTGTGACCTAGTTTTGGACCCTAGGTGATCCATATTCGAACTTGACCTAAAAATCATCAAAACAATATTCCTAACCAATTTCCAGGATATTTGGGTCAAGCAGTTGCCACTAGTGTTAACAAGATTTTTCTATTTTTAGCTCCTGTGACCTAGTTTTTCATACGAAATGACCCAAATCATCCGAGCAATTATCTAGATAAGCATCCTGACAATGTTTGATGATGATTGAGGCAAAAATGTGACAAAGTGTTAACAAACAAAAGTGGATGGACGACGAACATTCAATGATCATAAAAGCTCACCCTGAGCAAGCTCAGATGAGCTAAAAATGAGCCGCATCACGACAAAACCAACATAATGCGTTTGCGACCAGCATGGATCCAGACCAGCCTGCGCATCCGCACAGTCTGATCAGGATCCATGCTGTTCGCTTACAGACCCTATAACAAGTAAAGAAACTGATAGCGAACAGCATGAATCCTGATCAGACTGCGCGGATGCGCAGGCTGGTCTGGATTCATGCTGGTCGCAAACCCATTATGTTGGTTTTGTCACGATGCGGCTCAAATCATGTTAACAGAGCCCAAGTAATTGAATCGAGAATCAAATTATTAACAGAAAGCTGAACTGTTTTACCCCTATGGTCTATTAAGCTTCCCTTACTACACTGTACTAATTTAATGACTTTCAATTTTTCGAACATATTCACCTTTTCACTACCAAAACAAACGTTCATCTTTGGCAGAAATAAAAAATAACAATTTTAGTTATATTTTTTTTCAATTTTATGTAAAAGTCATAATTGAATCATTTAACATGAACCAAATATATGGAACAAAAATTACACAACTGAAATCTTCTATGCAAATATTCTATTTTTTATTTATATAATAAACATATAAAAAAATTAAGGGAAATAAATAATCATACCATATAGACATAATTTTATACACATAACCTGAATTCAACATCTGAATGTAAACAAACTGAAAATTATGTACATTTAACCCTAAACAGTTCAATACTGCAAACAAAACAAAAAAAGTATTCTAAATGGACTTGTCAAGTTTTGAATCTGGACAAAACAATTTATCATTTACAAAACAATTTATCATTTACAAAACAATTTATCATTTACAAAATAAGTACTGAATGAAGAGCAAACAGGGACCAGTTGATCTTGATCTGCACTGGTAAAATAGATTGAATCGGTAGCCGGTACCAGGCTTCTGATTATAAATTGCAAGTTCTTAAAATAAAACTCATTACATTTATGTACCTTGATGAAACAAAAATACAGTATAGACAAGCAAAATGGATATGTGTTATTACTATTAAAAACAAATTTAACTCTTAATGTGCTGAAAGCCATCCTTAAGAAAATGTTTGTTTGCAGTAACCCGACCCAGAATTTTCAAGGTGGGTAGGTAGATCGATTTTTTTTTTTTTTTATTGAACTGTACTCCCAAATAAACATGGGATTTTAAAATGCTGGACAATATATGCTTTGATAATCTGGTAACAATTAAAATTGATAACTGAATTCTAATTTAATAAGACCTACATTTTATTTCTTCTATTAACCTTTAAAAGAACGAAAACAAAGCACAAGGCATAATTTTCTGATTCAAAAAAAAAAAAAAATTTTTATCCAGACCATGAAAAAAAATTTTGAGTAGGGGCAAATTTTGTGAGTCGGTCGCTTTACTGCAAACAAACATTTTTTTAAGGATGGCCTTATACATAACTGAAAAATTGTTTTATTAAGGTAAAAAATTTGAAATATGATGGAATATAGTAATATATGCAAGAAAAAAATATCTGACGTGTTTGCGGTTGGGATCGGAATATCCATCCCTCGGGAAACTGCCCAAGTTTAGCCTCGTTACCACCCTTCGGTCTTTAAACCAACTTAATAACCACAAAATTTTGGCAAATGTTATCATTTATTATTAAAAAGAGAATCACAAAAATTCATTTGTAATGAGGTTGTGATTCTCTTGGTTATGAAATCTACAGCAAAATCATTATTGTTCATGGGGAACTAATTATTTTGATTTTCATGGTAAGGTCAACCCACTAATTCAAGATCCAACAAAATCTAATTTTGATTGCTGTAAGATTATTTTGCATTGCATTATTTACATTTTACCTTATAAACATTCCACAAATTTAAGAACCCGCAAAAATGATCTTTGTGACAAAACCAAAAATTTCATGCCCACGAAATTAAGTGAATTCAAGTTATCACATATTCTGGTTCCTAAAGGTTATTTAATCCATCTAGGAGTACAGGAGAAATACTAATATTTATTCAATACAAAAAACTATTTTTGTTCTGTTACAGTTTACATAATCTTCACCAACAATTTTATGGATTTCATTTATCAGATACTACAAATAAGAAAGTAAAAGTAAAGCCCAGTCTGATGGTCACAATGACACGGCAAGGACCATATGGTAACTTTCTAGCTTTATTGTAGAAGGAAGACATCAGGTGCCCCTCCATGCTTTACTCCGGTCATTAATTGACAGGGCAGACACAAGAGCAGAATCATCAACCTTTCTGGATAAGTTATCATATACATGTTGGGCCTTTATATAGTGATAACTGATTTCTTTGACCACAACAATAAACATCAATAAAGTGCCCAAAACAACCAATAAAATATTTCAAATACAAAAATTGAAAATAATCAACATGCAAGTAAACATACATAATTACAAAGTCTCAAAATTGGCAACAGATATTTTCAACAAAGTGTGCATTATCACCAACAGGTTGCAATTATAAAGGTTATAATAATGAACATGCATTAGCATTTCAAGTTTACATAGAAAATCATTTTTATCTTAGCTGATTTTAACATTTTGACCATTGTTGTAATTAGGCTATCAAAAAAATTTTACATTTGTATATTTGGATTTTGTTCTGTTATAAAAATGACTGCCATACATCATTAAGGAGACAGACACTGTTAACAATAGCTCACAATACAACTTGAAGCGCAAATTTAAACTGACATCAGGATTTTATTTTCCCTCTAAAGGAAGGCTTAATGAAAATAGCATTACTATTAATCATCTTATCACTTCAAGGACATTTCTAAATAATCACATCACCTGTCCAACCCACTTCTACTTGGTTTTGATCTTTTATAACTTGGACTATCTGAATCTTTATGTTTATCACGAACACTTTTCCTATCTTTAACATCAACTCTGTCTGAAACCTCTGACTCTGATTCAGACCTTAACCTTTTTCCTCTACGATCACGACGAGGTGAGCGTGAGATTGACCTTGACCTACGTCTTCCTTTCCTATAGTCTGATTCATCTCTGGAGCTTCTTCCTTCCCTATACCTTATTCTTCTACTCTCTGGTCGAGATTCAGGAAATTCCTTGCCTTTGACCCTTTCAGTAGTTTTTTCAAATCTAAGTTTTGAAAATCTTTCACTTTCCTCATCACTTGTTTCATTAATACTGTTATCAGAACAATGTTTTTCTTTTCTTTCATTGTCTCTACATTTGTCTGTAGATCTGTCTTCAGTGCCCTTTTCTAAATAATGTCTTTTCATTTCAGTTTTCTTTCCCAAATCATCTATGGTATTTTCAGAATCATTATCTCTACATGACTGACTTTTTCTTCTAGAGCGATATCTATGAGGGCTTCCTGACCTCTCTCTTGAGCCAGATCTGTATCTTCTATGAGATCTTGGTGAATCTGTACCGGACTCATTTCTGTATCTAGAAACTGCAGATTCTTTTTCCCTCCTAAATGTTCTTGACTTTCTTGGAGAGCGAGATCGAGATCTTTTACGATTTTCTCTTAAAGGTGAGGTAGACCTTGAAGGTGGTCTACGTCTTGGTGATGTTCTCCTGTGTGACCGAACAGGTGACTTTCTAGTAAACTTTTCAGTTTTTTGTGCATGCTGGTTATCTGATCTATTTCTTGTCCTATTTCTACCTGAAGAGTAATCATCAGGTCTAATTTTACGCTTCTGTCTTGACATGCTGCAATCACTTGCTGAATCTGTGTCACTCTTGTGCCTTTTACGTTGATTATTGATATTCAAAGCAAGTCTGGTATGAATACAATCCTTCTGACTGCACTTGCATGATGACTCACTATCAATACATGATGTAGCTCCAGATAAAAATCGAACAGGACTTATTCTACCTTTACTTAAAGCACCTGTATTTAACATCATTTTCTGTTTTTTGGGGGTAACTTCTGCAGACATTTTAAGTGGCTGGTTTGTACATTCTAATGCTTCACTATTGTCTTCATCTGAATCACTAAGTTCTCCTTCTTCAACACTAAGATTGGTGTCAGAATTTTCACTTGATTCATCATCACCATCATTTTCATAATTTGCATTATCATTTGAAAGTTGACATCCACTACCTGTATCTAGTGTAACATCATCGTGGTAATCAATACCATCCATTGTGTTATCTTCCAACAATAAAATTGGAACCCCTTTTGATTCATTTTCAATCACCTTTTCAAGCTTTTTAACTTCTTTGCTATTACCATCTGTCTTGTTACAATGTGTTTCACCCTCATCATCATGAAGCTTAAGTTTTGGTTTCTTTGGACTGATAATTTTATTAAAAATTGGATTTTTATCTGATAATTCAAAATATCGAACTTCAGAGTTACTACCACATTTATTTTTTTCTGATTTTGATGGTGTTCTATCTGATCTCAAATTCTTGGCACCAAATTCAACTCTAGAATTATCATTTGAAGATGTAGAGTCTTTGACAGGAGTTCTTGCTTTAATACGAGGCGACTTCCTCAAAGTTATTTCAGAGCTTGAAGCACTCACATTTTCTGTTTTCCTTTCCTTTTCTTTATCGGTTTCATGATTACCAAATTTCTTTTTCACACTGTTTTCTTTCTGACCCTGACAAGATTTTGTATCTAATTTGTTATTGACACTATTTCTACTTTTATTTGAATTATTTTCACGATCACTGCTTTTGGCAAACTCTTTACCTTTACTGTAAGCATTTATTTTATCAGACGCTTTTATCTTGTCTTTTTCATGGCCTTTAATATTTCTTTTTACCATCTCTACTTTACCACTGTCTTTTATTAACTTATCTTTGCTTTCTGGGAGCTTGTGTGCTGATTGGATACTTTTGCTTTCTTTAGAATATTTGTCAGCAGAGGGTTTATTTGATAGAAAACTTTTCTCTGTAACCTTCTTTGTTTGCTCTTCAGCAGGATGTGATCTGAAATTTGTTGCTTTATCCATTGAAACATCCTTTTCCTTGCAAGACATTGGTTCAAAACTTTTACTTTTTATAACATCACATTCCTTAGGATTTATTGCCTCATCTGAAGCAAAGTCTTTGACGATATCATCAGTGTCTTCACTACTTCTTGTCTTGCGTAAATCAGCAAGTGTTATAGACTTTTTGCTATTCCCTGAGGAGTCACTGCTGCCAAACATAGCTCTTAGGATAGCATTACTATCCCCAGTATTACTAGAATCTGTATCTCTTTCACTGTCTGAGTCTGACATGTCGGATTCAGATTCACTCGACAGGAATCTTTTGGTAGGTTTACTTTGAATTTTGCTTTTTTTGCTAGAATCCAATTTCAAGCCATCTCTTTTATTTAACATGCTGTGATTTATTTTACTTTCAGCATTATTTTTTCTATTGCTACAATAAATGCTTCTATTCTGAGAAACTGATGATTCACTTTTACTTTTTGTGACAGGCTTTTTCTCTTCCTTACTTTCACCTTTTCTTGTATCTAGCATTTTTGGAATTGTAAATGTCTTAAATGATGCATTTTGTACAGTTAAAGACATTGACGCATCTGAAGCATTCTTTTTTGTTGACTTACTTACTGTTTTTGACTTGCTTAAATATCCATCAAGATCACCTAGCTTTTTCTCAAATGTCAAATTTTCATTCTTATTCATAGCTCCTGTCTTTGATGTACCAGTTTTACATCTTGTTTCTTCATGTCCATTAGTCGCCATAGCAACTTTTAGAGGCTGAGTTTTACCAGACTTGCTCAAGCTTTGAAGAGGAGCCTTACCTTTAATATTTTCCTTTGTGTCTTTTCTTGATTTTGAATCATGTGCTCTCGGTATTGTTAATTTCAACTTCAAAGAATCATTTTCCAATCTTTGTTTTTCTGCAAGTTCTTTTTTCAACATGTTTTGCTCGACTTTTAGTTTCATTATTTTTTCAGACAACTCTCTAGTAGTGTCACGAAAATGGCTCTTTGCTTCATTCCTTTCTTTTGCCAGCTGTTGAGAACTGCCCTTTTCTTTCTTTCTATCTCTCTTAGAATCTACTGAAATGGTATTCTCTGCTGACATCATACTTTCCTCAACCAAACTATGTTCTGAAGTTTCTTTCAAAACACCAGACTTTTTTCTATCACGTTTCATATCTTCTTCATTTGCTTTTTTGCTACTACCACTATTGCTGTCTTTATCAGTCATTGCATTTTCTACTGAAAACAAATGTTGTTTTGATGAATGTCCTTCACCGTCAATGTTTTTACTTTTTACTTTGTCTAGAGTATTTTCTAATTTACTAGTGTCAACTTTCCTTTTATCACCCAAGCTTTTGTTATCAGTTTTCATTAAATTGGTTTTGCTTTTACTCATTCCTTTTCTTGGGCTTACAGAACCAGAAGTTTTCTCAGTAAAATTACTCTTCTTGCAAGTTTGAATAGTTTCACATTCTTTAGTATCAGTAACCGATGACTGAGATGCCTTTTTCCTCGGACTTCTTCTTAATGGTTGATTAACAATTTCTTTTTCCTTTTGTTCAATTTTCTTATTAGTAGAAAGTGTTGTTTTATCATTTTTATTTTGATGTGCCTTAGATGTCACATTTTTCTCTTTATTGCCTCTCCTTTCAGTAACTTTCTCACTTCCCTTCTTCTTTGCTGTGCAACTTTTTTCAAGTGACTTTACAGCGGTTTTTGAAACTGCATGTTTTGATGCTTTTTGTGAGACTTGAGACTTTGTTCCACAAGGACTTTTTTTTGCCTTACAAGATATACCTGATTTCGGCTTATTTGACAGATTATTCACCTTTGATTTACATCTATTGTTTATCTGCTCTGAAGTTGTGACACATTTACCTGTTTCTGCTGTACTTTGCAATAAAGTATTTTCTTCAGCAAGTTTAGGATCAGGCTTCATAGAATGTTTTGTTTTTAAATTCTTGCTACTTTCTAATTTATTATTTAAACCCTCATTATTAAATTGTACTACAGAGGAGATAACACCTATTGCTAGGTTTTTCTTAACTTCTTTGACTTCAGTTACTTGTTCAGTCTTTTGTACTTTACTTCTAGGGCTTAGATTTGCAAATTTCACTGCAGGTGTTACTGGTCTTGAACATTCAGTTCCTGGTGATGAATTTGATATCTTTTTCTTATATCTGTTACTTGTGTTTTCATCTGAAATTTCAATCGAGGCATTTGACTGCAAAAATTCAGGAAGTTCATCTGCAATCCAATAGGGATTGTTCTTACAAGGTATTACACTAACAGCTTTGTCATTTACACCAGTTATACTTTCATTCACTATCACATTTCTAACTTCCATATCCTTTAGAGTTTCATTTCTACTTTCAGAGCTAGCTATATCTTCATTAATACAAACTGTCTTCTCCATGGATTTTACACTCTCTAAACTTTTTGTCATACCTTTATCATCATTTGACTCACAATTAACACCAATATTGGTTACTTCATTTCCACATTTACCTGCCTCTCTCATTTCTTCATCACCTTCTGTTTCACTATCTGATGAAGAACCAGAATGAGATGTACATGTAGAGCAATCAGTGGGATGGGTGAATCCAGAACTTGAATCTCCAGAATCAGACTCATCAGAAGATCCTGATAAATCAGCACCACACACATTTTCTTCAGTTACATTATCCATTATCATTTTCTCTTCATTCCTTGTTATCTGCTCTTTCTCACTGGTTTTACAAACTTGTGCTTTATAAATGACTTCTGTCAGTTTTGCAGTTCTTAATTCTTCACTGCAGGACACACTTGTATTATCAGTACTTGAGCTTATTATTGGGTAAGATTCCATTTCCGAATTAATACTTGCATTTTCCATTTCTACATTGTTAGGTAGAGGTTCTGAACAAGTAACTTCTTCATTTATTTTAGAGATATTGCAAATAGTTGATACAGCTGTTTCTTCTTCATTAACTTGAGTACTTGAGCTTATTATTGGGTAAGATTCAATTTCCGAATTAATACTTGCATTTTCCATTTCTACATTGTTAGGTAGAGGTTCTGAACAAGTAACTTCTTCATTTATTTTAGAGATATTGCAAATAGTTGATACAGCTGTTTCTTCTTCATTAAAAACTTTTTCACTGTAACTTGCATTACTTTTCAATTCATTTTGTACACAATTCAGCAAACATTGCAACATGTGGGATCTGTCTGGTGATATTCCTGTTGCACACTTAGTGACTTGAATTTTTTCTGGTGACTTCACTGTTTGAATGTTAGGTTTTTCAGAAATACTGGCACTTTGTTGAAATTCCATTTCATCATCAGCTTTCATTTCTATATCATTACATGTAGGAGTTTCTTTATTCAAACCATTAGCTTCCTCAATGTTAGTTTTTGTCATTAATTCAGTACCTCCACTATCTTCAGTTTCCATCAGTGTATTAGCAGTTTTTGCTTTACTGACTTCTTCTTTCTCAACCATATTTTCCCTATTTTTACTAGAATTCACTTCAATATTCTGTGTATTTTTATGCTCTTGAGTAACGAGTTTTTCCTTATTACAAGGTGATTTCTTTGCTTTTATTGTAACTTCTTCAGAATCAGAATCTGAACTGTAAGTTTCCCAAGAAGAACCAGTTCCACTTTCATCTGAGGAAGAATAAGTACTGTCACCAGAATAAGAACTGCCTGAATCATCTGAAGCAGAAAATTCTGATTCATCTCCAGATTGCAGTGAATCAGTCCTCTCAGACATTATATTGGATCCAAAGCTTCCTTCAGATTCGTTTTCTGATGCTTCAACTTTATTACTATTTTGTTCCTTTCCTTTAACAGTCTCTAAAACTTGTAACTTAGTCTTTTCTTCTGTACCTGATATTTCAGTTCTTATTTGTTCACAGTTATCACTTTCCATAGAATCTGAGGCTAAATTTGGAGGATTATTGATTCCTGTTTTCTCTTTCAAAGTACACTGTATATGATTCCTATTTTGTTTGCCATTTTCATTGTTTACATTGGTGACATTTTCAAATACAGAAATATTGTTTTGGATACTTATCTCTATATTTTCCTTACTTTTGCTTGCATTGTCTGTTTTTGGAAATTTTTCGCCATTCAGCAGGTTCCCTGCATCCTTATTGCTTGATACATTATCAGCAAATTCCTTCTGCTGATTTCCATAAAAAGTCTCAATTCCATGATCATCTACATTCTTTGCTTTGTCTAGTTTATCTTCTGTTGCATTATTCATACCTATTATTGACTGCCCATATTTATTAGCAATAGTTTGTAATTCATCACATGTCTTATCTTTTTTTGAATCCTCCCTTTCATTAATGGTACAATTAATGTCTAATGTATTAATTTCATGCAAGTCCACTTGAACGCTCTCAACCTGGTCAACTGTCAACTTAGATTCACTATTTTTTGTTGCTTTGACAAATTCAGCATTATAAATTAATTCTGCTGAAGGTTTTTTATTAGTGATATTATCTTTATGTGACTCAGTATTTCTGTCAGACAATTCTGATTCCGAATCGGAACTTCCTGAAGATGAGCCAGTGTCTGATGAAGAAGAACTTGACCCAGAAGTACTTGAAGACGAACTTTCACTGTCATCAACACTTTCCTCTGCTGTAACTTCTATTGTTCCACTAACTTCACTTCTTTTATTTCCATGTATGTTTACCAGTTCTGAATCTACATCAAGATAATTCAATATTTCATTATCATTCCGACCTGTTAATGCATTCATTTCTTTATTATCAGTTTCCATCTCATCAGTTTTGTTTTGCTTCTTGTTAATTAAACTTTCAGTTGGTTTTGTATCACTCTTTATCAATGTTTCCTTCTGAAATTCTGGTGACTTTGTATTCCCATTATTACACTTTGGGTGCAAGTGTCTCATTTTGATGGTACAATTTTTGTCTGTACACACAAGGTTTTGTAATTTGCTACTACTTTCAGAACTATAATTTTTATCTGTACACACAAGGTTTTGTAATTCGCTACTACTTTCAGTTCTATGTGTATCCTCTGAAGTTTCAGTGTCATCAGTGCTCATACTTAGGTCCCCTGTTTCATCACTTATACTATTAAAGATATCAGAGTCTGAAACAGATGTTATACATGATATAGTTTCAGATGTAACACATCTACGTACTCGCTTCCTCCTTCCAGTTTTGGAACATGATCTTTGCAAATTTCTACCTTTACTTTTTTCATCTGAATTCGTTTCTGCTTCAGTTTCAACAGATTTCTCAGAATTTTTCACTTCTTCAGCAACACAGATATTGTTAGCATTTGTTTTACTGCAGTTTACAGAGGTTTCTGATTTTGACAAAAGTCTTGCAGACCTTCTCCTAGCAGAACCAGGAGTTTCTTCATTTTTTGAAGAGTTTGACAGATTAGGAGAAAAATTTACAGAATTTTCTGTAAGTTCACTTTCTTTAATATCAAAATTTGAATCTGTTTGACTTAAATCTATTTTACTATTATCATTTAAAACATTATGATGTATTGCACTTTCAATAGAAAGGCTAGTTTTTTCAGATTGTATTTCCATTGGTTCAAAGTCATCCTGAGAATCATCACATTTTGAACTAATCTCCATAAGTTCTGTTGTTTCTTTCCCTTCGCATTTACCAGTAGTCTCTGTCGTAATAATGTCATTATTTTCATTGAGACCACTTCCTGGTATACAACTGTCTGATATGTATTTATCATTAAATCCTTCAGATATCTCCTTATCTTTTACCTCATTATATGTATTTTCCTTATTATCCATTTCAACAGCACTGACTTTATCTATGGTATCTATGGAATTAACTTTAGTTAAAATTTCATTTTGTTCACTCATAACTGGTGTTTCACATGTTAAATTATGATTAGACAGTTCTGATGCTGTGAAGTATTTTTCACTTTGAATTGTACTGTTAGTTTCAGGGACATTTTCCATATCAGAAACTTCATTACTTGCATCAGAATAGGATATAATTTTCCTCCTAGAAGTGTTTTCTTTCCTTAAGTCTTTATCAATATTTTCATTCAGCTGTAAATGTGTGCTACTTTTTACTTTGCTTGAAGCTATTTCATTCTTTTTAATAGACATTTTCAATTGTTCAAGAAATTCTTTTTCTGCATTTAAGTTTTCATTTCCTTTCTTCATCTGCCGTTTTCTTGGTTCCATTTCACTGGCCTTTGAAACAGAATTTGAAAGAGTCCTACAATTATTTAATGTTCTTGGATCATTTGAATCAGATACAGGAAATGAGTCTATGTTCTTTCCTGAACTTCTTACAGACAAACTAACTGATGACGAATGAATCTCTGACACAGTTTCTTCAAGATCTGTTGTCTGTTTACCAGATAACCTTTTCAGTCTTAATTTCTCCCTGAGATCTAATACTTTCGGTTTATTCCCTGAATCTTTTATCCCTGAATTTTCACCATTTTCACTACAGCCAATGCCCTCACTACTTTTGTCATTTACATTGTCCTCAACATTTTTACCCTTATTATTCTTAACAATGGGAATGTGATCTTTACTCTTCTCCTTTTCCCTGCCATGTCTTGAGAGGTCATCATAACCTTTCTTTTGTCTATTATCTTTTGCTTTTATTTCATCTTTAGAATTTCTTTCTCTATTTTTAACATTCAACTTTTGATCAACTTTTCTATGACTCTTATCTGGACTGGATACATCGCTCTCATGTTCACTATATCGTTTTGAACTTTCAATTTGGTCATATTTTCTATGTTTTCTGCCTTCATAAGATTTTTTATTTATTTCTTCTTTTTCACTATCATTTCCCTTACGTTCACCCTTATTAATTTTCTCCATATTCTTGGATTTACTTCTTTTCCTACTATCAAAATCTTCGTCACTTCTTTCATTATTTTGTCTACTTCTGTCAAAAGAATCTCTCGTACTTCTAGAATGTCTTTCCTTCTCTTTCCGATATTTATTAGGAGATTTCTCATCATTCCTCTGTAATATGAGTCTTCCAGGACTAGATACACATGGAGGATCAAAGTCAGAATCTATTGAAGTAATACTGGAACCTTCTGTATTTGTCTCCCTTTGATTTCTGAATCTTCCTGGTGTTCTTTGTTTGCCTGTCAACTTTTTTCTGAGAAAAAATAAAATAATTGTTAAGCAATATACATTTTGTCATGAAATTTTGACTAGTAACGAAGAGAAATTTCTATGATTTGGCAAGAAAAATAACCTGCTTTCCGTATGTTAAATCTTTTGATCATTTGTACAGTTGTCATTGATTCAGTGCAAAGCATAAAACCAATATTTGATTATCAGATAACAAATATTGGTGATACATTAATATATTGATAATTGCTTATATTCAATTTTCAATCTATAATTCACTTTCAAACCTGTTTAAATGATTTCCATAAAATATATATTATCTTACATTATGATGTGTCTTGTATGGCCATTTCACGAGATTTTCAAACCATTTTTTCCATCACTCCTATGTAATATGTCCAATATAAAAAATGATAATAGGAAAAAACGAATATCTATGTGGCGTAATTCTAGCATTTGTAGCGTGGATTGATATTTTATGAATTATTTAATTGAGTATAACAACTTTGTGTTCATTCCTTCTGGAAAATGAGTTTTTAGCTTATGAATCCAAAATGTTTCTTTGCACAAACGATCTAAAGTATTGTAAACAACATCTATGGGCATAAATGAAAAGTCGGTAAAATTATGATCGTCCTTATTAAACTGATTTGCAACATTAGTGGAGAATGCAGGATCTACAAAATTGCATATATCAAATTTATGGCTATTCATTCGTTTAGACACAGGTTGTTTGGTTTGACCAACATACTGCATGCTACATTTTTTACATGTTATCAAATATATACAATTCTTGGTTTGACAGTTAGTATGTTGACGTAAGTCAAATATCTCTCCTGTATTTGAACTGTAAAATGACGTACCACTATTAATACGAACACAATGAGAACAGCGTTTCTACAACAACCTCCAGAATGTGATGTAAAGTCACTGTCAGTATCAAATCTAGATCTAACTAAAAAGTCTTGTAAGTTTCTTGGACGTTTTATAGGCAATTATGGGTGTGTAGTTATTGTGAATATTTTTAACACCTTCGTTTTTTGACAGATTTAGTAGGTCCCAATATTTATGAATAGTATTTCCAATATTAGGTAAGGACGGATTATATGTCACAATAAATGGAAGAACGTTTTTCTTTTCTTTATCTTGTGGCCGTAAGGCATCCTCTTGTGACATCTGTGACACGTGAAGAAACGCTGAATCTATAACCGTCTCAGGGAAATTTCTACTTATGAAGAATTCTCGTAGTTTGCTCAGTGAAGTAGAGAACACGTCGTCGTCGGATATAATTCTCCTGTAACGCTTAGCCTGACTGTGGGGTATTCCGTCTTTACACCGTTTTGGATGACAGGATGTATAATCAAGATATTGGTGGTTGTTAGTTTCCTTTACATAAACATTAGTTTGAAGTTCGTACGATTTTCCTTTTGATACTTGAACATCAAGAAACGAAACAGATTGTTGAGATATGGTGTGGGTGAATTTAATGCTTGGGTGAACATTGTTGATTTTGTCAATAAATGTGTTAAGTTCTTCAGAGAATGATCCCAAAGCATAAAAATATCGTCTAGAAAACGAAGCCACAATGACGGTTTAAGCTGACTATCTTTCAAAAAACTCCTCTTCGAATTTCCCATAAAAAGTGCTGCGTACGCGGGGGCGACTGGGCTTCCCATAGCGGTACCATTTTCTGAAGAAAATAGTCATCCCCGAACTTGAAGTAGTTATTTTCAAGAATAAGTTTCAAAAGTTTAACAATTTCATCTGACGAAAGTCTGCTGTTATTATTTCCTTGTCTTAAATAATACAAACACGCATCAGTTCCATCCGTATGTGGTATATTAGTATAAAGTGAAGAGACATCTAGTGTTACCAAATATGTGTTTTTGCTTTGTAGTTTAATATTACGTAATTTGTTGATGAAATCTGTGGTGTCTTTTACATATGATGGCAATCTAAGCATATGTGGTTTAAGTATAAAGTCGAGATACTTTGAAATATTTTCTGTCGGTGAGTTACATCCTGACACAATAGGTCTACCCGGATACTTTAATGGCAGTGTGAAGTCTGAGATTTGTGTGTTTTAGGTAAGATATAAAAACACGGTGTACGTATGTTCGTTGGAAATACATCAAATTCATCTGAAATACAGTCGTTTGTTTCTTTAATCTTATCAATGCATTCCGATATGTTACATTTAATAATTTCTGTAGGATCTTCCGTACATTTTTCATAGTAGCTGTTGTTTTCGAGTTGACGTAAAACTTCCCGTCGGTAATCGTCAGTATTCATAATAACGATAGTGTTCGATTTGTCCGCTTTCTTTATAATTATACTTTTATCTTGTGACAGTTTACGTAGCGACTCCATTTCAGACTTGGTTATATTACTATAACGTTTGTGTTTATTAATGATACTGGATTGCAATATTTCTTCCGTAATAGCATTAATGTAAAAGTCCAAGTAAACATCTCTTCCAGCGGTGGGGGTGAATGACGATTCTTTTTTATTGAAAAATGGGTGTTGGTATTAATAGTGGTACGTCATTTTACAGTTCAAATACAGGAGAGATATTTGACTTACGTCAACATACTAACTGTCAAACCAAGAATTGTATATATTTGATAACATGTAAAAAATGTAGCATGCAGTATGTTGGTCAAACCAAACAACCTGTGTCTAAACGAATGAATAGCCATAAATTTGATATATGCAATTTTGTAGATCCTGCATTCTCCACTAATGTTGCAAATCAGTTTAATAAGGACGATCATAATTTTACCGACTTTTCATTTATGCCCATAGATGTTGTTTACAATACTTTAGATCGTTTGTGCAAAGAAACATTTTGGATTCATAAGCTAAAAACTCATTTTCCAGAAGGAATGAACACAAAGTTGTTATACTCAATTAAATAATTCATAAAATATCAATCCACGCTACAAATGCTAGAATTACGCCACATAGATATTCGTTTTTTCCTATTATCATTTTTTATAATTAAACCCTATAGGAAATATTCGTATTTATTAATCCGATATCTATTGTGTCGTTTTTATATTTTGATGCTTTGTTTGGTGCACTTATCTCTTTTATCATGAATTGGTATTGTTCGTATTTATTCGTTTTTCCGCTAAAGTGGGCGTGACGTTAATTGTAAAATTACGACGTCACGTCCGTTGATATTATTATTATTTATTTACCTTGAAAAAGGCATACATTTGCCGAAACGTTGGAAAAATAAAAAATGATATTATACGTGTTATTGCTGTGACTTTATTATTTTAATATGTCCAATATGTAATGATTGCAAAGGTTTTTTTAATGGATGTCCACTTCTGAATGTCTTGCGTGAATTTTCATAATTTCCAGAAATTTAATTAATCAGTGAAATTTTTTCAAATGTGTATCAATTATTGATTGTCAGAAAAATAACCATACATAAATATCGTTTTTATTGATGACAGCTCTAGTGTCCAGTGACATAAGTTTCCAGCATCCTTCATACAAACTATGAATGAGATTCCTGTGCGAATAGAATCTAAATAGTACATTTTATAACAAATTCATATATGAGCGCATCATGACAAAACCAACATAGTGCGTTTGCGACCAGCATGATTCCAGACCAGCCTGCGCATCCGCGCAGTCTGATCAGGATCCATGCTGTTTGCTATCAGTTTCTTTACTTATTATAGGGTCTGTAAGCGAACAGCATGGATCCTGATCAGACTGCGCAGATGCGCAGGCTGGTCTGGATCCATGCTGGTTGCAAACCCATTAGTTTGGTTTTGTCGTGACGCGGCTCATATAATTTTGACTATCAAATTAATAAACTGCGTAGAACAGACCATACCTTAGTGTATTCAACTCTTTCTCTTTCCTGTTGATTTCTCCTTTCGCAGTTATTAACAAGCTAGAGAAGTTTCTCTGAATGTCTTTACTGGACGTCTCCTGTTTATTCAGTGACTCTCGTAAAGTCTTGTTCTCAGATTCTAGCTGTTGTATCATTTTCATTGCTTCTTCAAATTTCTTCATCATCTGTACACATATAAAACATAGATGTATAATTGAAATATGAGCCGCGTCACAACAAAAAACCAACATAATGGGTTTGCGACCAGCATGGATCCAGACCAGCCTGTGCATCCGCGCAGTCTGGTCTGGATCCATGCTGGTCGCAAACGCATTATGTTGGTTTTGTTGTGACGCGGCTCAAATATATACAGTCTATGTGAAAGTCAATTTTTTTTTCAGGCCACAAGGACCGAGACCCTTAGGTTTATTTCCGGCCCGGATGATATTTTTCAGGCCCAGACTTTTCAAGCATTATTTTATATTAACACAGTTGAATGCAAAAATGATTGTCTTTCTTTAAATTAGTGAGACCATCCATATAAAAACATAAGAAGATGCTGACCAATTGAAATAACTTAAGCAGGGTGCTCACTAGGATTTTCAAAGGAGGAGTTCTTGGACTCCCAAGGACAGAAAAGTAGGAGCACAGAGCACTTTGAATATGTTAAGCCATCTTTACTGCACTTATGCAGTTGACGAATATGATGTATATTAATGGAGTAAGCTAGGTTTTGAAAAGTTGGAGTTTGAACAGAGAAAAAGCTTATTCAGGAAAATGGTAGTATGTCCCAAATGGAATACACTGTACCGTAAAAGTGATTGAAAAGATTTGAAATATAATTTCAAAAACCCTACATCATTAGACCATTATGCTGTTTTCTTCCAGATTCACTCCACACACCCCCCTCCCATAAGAAAATATTCATTGTATGTGACAAACACATACTGGTAATGGCTCCATCTCAACTAATGTGAACAATATCTTTAGTAATTTTAATTCTTAAACTACATTTAAGTGTTATTACACACATTTTAACAAAACAAAGTTTCCTTTTGGTTATGATTTTTTTAATTATAAAAAGCGGTATCGCGAAAATATGTGACAATTGAAAATTTGTCTGTTTCCTGCAGAAACATTCACAATTCTACTTGTTGTTGATTTTGATTATATTAGATTAAATATTTTTTGATTATTTTAAGATTGTTACTTATCGGCTATTTCAACAAGCATCATAAAACAAAATTTTCAAATCTGTAATTTACGGCAAAATTTACCGTTGTTGATGAAACTTTTTGAAGACAGAGTTGACTGGTATTTATTTGACATGTACAAAATAGATCTAAGGTTGGTCAATATCTTCTTTAATAAATTCTTTGCATCACCTGGAACTTATCAATCAGGTCATTGATATTTTTAACTTTTTGAAATTTTATTCGGACATGAGGACTGACGGAAAGGAATTTTTCTCGGACCGCACGAGTTTTATTCAGCCAGGACCTAGGACCGATGGACTTTCACACAGACTGTATATAGTGTTCCGAAAATTCAATGTCAAATATCTAAGTTCTGGTCCGTTTCGTAAGGTCAACAACAAGACAATGCAACATGTTAAGTATCTCAGCTCTAAACATTAAAGTTTCACATAATTAGACCTAAATGTGTTCTATATGAATCAAATAATCCCCAGAGCAGGGCCAATTTTGATCTCAGGAAGCCAAAACCTGTGTTTTGGACATCGTCTCATTATAACTAATATTTCTGCCAACTAGTTTTAATTTCTATCTATCAGTTCAAAAGAGCAGTCATGAAATTTTGAAATTCATACAAAATGACTGTGACCTTGACCTTAGTAAATTCAAACCTGGGTTATGCACATCATCTCATAATGGTTAACATTTCTGCTTGTAGTTTCAATTTCGTACTATCAATTCAAAAATACAGACTGGACACAAAATAAACAGACGGACAGAACAGACATGTCTACTGCAATTTTCTTTTGTTTAATAGAGGACCATTAGCCCCTTCCATTATTATTAGGGAATGAATTCTGTCGTTTTCTTTTGTTAACTTTACAGTTAGAAGGCCCCCTAACACTATTCAGTAGTGTGGATGGACAACCAGGTGTATAAAAATTACATGTTTACACTGAAATTTTTTAGGACACATAAAAAATTCATCAAACATTAACACTAAATATTACCGAGTGTTTAGATTATATTGGATTTAAAGTCATAACAACACTATTAAGGTCATATGGTGATTTTCCAGCTTTATTGATTGTTGATCAGACTTTTTTTATTGGTGGATGAAGACCTTCAGTGTCACTCTGTGCATTACATCAGGCACAAGCGGCCATTTGTGTCAAATCAGAAAACCTGACATTCACTGGATAGCTTTCCTATATGAAATAATTAAAAGCTGTTTATGGGTATGAAATGCACATTGTTGAGAGACAAATGATATAACTCAGCCACTGTGACATCCACAGTTTAATGTACATGCACTGTAAAATTTCCATATAAACAACAAGAGCTGTCACAGGAGACAGCGAAGCTTGATTAATAAAATACTGGACGCAGTAAGGAAGACAAAACTATGAAAGAAAAATCAATTCTGTATAATTATGTTTTAAGTTATAGTAAAAAAATAACATTGTTAACATAAATTCCAAGATCAAGGGGAATAATTCTAGAAAAAGTCATGCTAGAGTTATGAACCTTGTCACACAACATGTGTGTAATGATAAGAAATATATATTTGAAGTTTCAAGTTTGTTTTGTTTTTTTTTATTTGGGTTTTACGTCACATCGACACAGTATAGGTCATATCGCGACGTTCCAGCTTTACTGGTGGAGGAAGACCTAAGGTGCCCTTCCGTGCATTATTTCAGGCACAAACGGGCACCTGAGTAGAACCAGCGACGTTCCGTAAGCTAGCTGGATAGCTTCCTCACATGAAAGAATCCAAAGTCCCTGTCGGGATTCGAACCCACAGCGGTGAAGGGCAAGTGGTTTGAAGTCAACGACCTTAACCACTCGGCCACGGACGCCCCAAAAAAGTTTGAAGTAGATACCTTAAAAAATAAAGAAGTTATAATATTTCTTAAAGAAATCGTAAGTTCAAAGAGAGATAAATCTGTAAATATTGCTTCAAGAGTTATGAACATTGTCACATAAAATGTAATTGATGATTACAAATAAGTATTTGAAGTTTGAGGTAGATACCTTTAAAACTAAAAAAGTTATAGTAAAAAATAACATTTTTCTAGTAAAAAAATCTAAGTTTATGGTGAGATAATTCTTGCAATATTGTGTTATGAACCTTGTCACATAAGATGTGGTTGATGATAAGGAACATATATTTGAAATATGAAGTTTATCCCTTAAGAAATAAAGAAGTAACAGTAAAAAATAGTATTTTTTAAGGAAAATTCTAAATTCAAGGGGAGATAAATCTTAAAATATTGGCACAAGAGTTATGAACCTCATCACATAAGATGTGGTTGATGATAAGGAACATATATTTGAAGTTTGAAGTTGATACCTTAAGAAAGGACATAGTTATAGTGAAAAATATTTTACAGCACCAAAACTTTAATCTGAAATCTGGACGCGGATGCCGGGGCGAGTAGGACAGCTCTCCATATACTTCGTATAGTCAAGCTAAAAAGGTATCAATTCTAAACATATATAATTCAAATTAGCAAACCTCCTGAAACGAATTGACTTTCTGGAGATCTTCTTCTGCAATGAGGTCATCATAGAGGTCAAGGTCATTCATGTTATTATCCTCAGTGCCACATACATCACTACCACGATCCTCCTGTAATCATTATATATTTGGTTAATACAGAATTTACTTTAGTTCGTTTGTGAGCTAAAGCTTATAGATACACTTTTGATTCCATTCCTGTTCATTTGTGTAGCAAGCTATAACTTATAGATACAAGTTAGATTTCGTTCTTGAAACCAACCAGTAATGAGCAATAAGTTTCTTGCTCAAGGAAACGTCTTGCCCCCCTGACAGGGTTTGAACCCATGCAACTAGTGATTATTAGATTACTAGTCTGACATGGTAATCACTCGGCCATGCCGCCAATTAAAATATTATATTGCCTTCCTTAATGACAAGATCTTGCATATTTTCATCTCAACTTGGTAATTTAGGTGAACTCAAGGTGCAATTTGCAATATGTAAATTACTTTCTTTGATCACTTGTCAATATTTTACTTTTAAATACTTTTTCAAAATTTTCATGAAAATTAGCTTGATTCTGGAGGCATGCTGCTTTAAAATAAACAAACGAGATCAATACATGAAATTAACAACACAATTTAACCTGTGACATTTGATCTGATTGTGAGGTATGTTGTACAGTTGGTGTGAGGATGTCCTCGGATTTATGTGTAGACTCTGTCTCTGACTGACTTAAATACATGTCATCTATATCCCCATACAAATCCTCATCTGTAACAACAATATAAACAGAAACATAAATTTTAATGTATTTTCATATTATGAAATTCTATTAAATTTGAAAATAAGCTGTAGGCATTTAATTTTGCAAATATTGGAGTATAACTTAAGATTACTTGAGGGGGGGGGGGGGGAGTTATTGGCAAGAAGGTCTATCTATGAAAGCAATTATCCTGCTGGACTAAAGCTTCAAAAATTTGGCTGTCCCAAAATATTTTTACATTTAGCTGACTTTTATTTTGCCTTATTCATTTCTATCTTCCTATTAAGAGATATACACGTAACTGAATCTTCAACAGATGTTAAAACACTTTTGATACAATGGTGCACATTTTTTTGTCACTCATATAAACAAATATTTATTTGCGTCCTGACACTAAAACATTGAATTTAAAAGATGTTCTACCCGACCTCATATTATACACATATACCTGATGATTCCTCCTTCATAACTGCAGCCATTATGCTGATTTTGTCAGGTCTGTAACAATATTAATCTTTAGCAAGTAGATCTTTTCAATCAAACAATCTTCTGTCATCCGTACTTTTCACCAAGATATCATCAAAATCATTTGCCTGAAAAGATAAAAGAAAATGGGTAAAAGACAGAAAAAACCAAGTTGTATAAAAATTTGTACACCAAGAATCATGACTATATGCATATAGGGAAAATCAATGACCCCCGGGGCGGGGCCAATTTTGACCCCAGGGCTTTTATTTGAACAAACTTGGTAGACACTCACTAGAAGATGTTTCATGCCAAATATCTAAGCTCTAGCTCTTATGGTTTTTTAAAAGAAGATATTTTTCTTTCGGTTGCCTTGGCAACCAGAGTTCTGCATGGAATTAAATTCTTTGAACAATTTTTAAAGGTGACAACCAAAGGAACATTCATGTGAAGTTTGGATGAAATTGGCTTAGTGGTTTATGAGGAAATGTCATTTAAAGTAAAAGTTTACGGACGGACGACGGACGAAAAGCGATCACAAAAGCTCACCCTGTCACTTTGTGACAGGTGAGCTAAAAAACCCTGGCAGTTTTGTTAACCCTTTCCCTCGTGAGCATATTTTGAAAAATGGCCGTTTTCATTGAAAGCCTCCTGTTACAAGTTCAAACTGCTATGAAACTATGAACAAGAGCTGTCGGTAGGACAGCAACGCTCGACTATTCTTAGTGCTTGATAGTAAAAAAAATGCTTGATACAGTTACCTCCTCCTGTTTACAGGTTGGGGTCATGATGGTGAACAAGTGTGCAAAGTTTCAAAGCCATATGTCAATGGACTTTGAAAATATTTGAACTATTACAAAAACTTTAACGTAAATTCTAAGTCGAAAAAGGGGCATAATTCTGTCAAAATGCTTGATAGAGTTACCTCCTTCTGTTTACAGGTTTGGGTCATGATGTTGAACAAGTGTGCAAAGTTTCAAAGCCATATGTCAATGGACTTTGAAAATATTTGAACTATTACAAAAAGTTTAACGTAAATTCTAAGACGAAAAAGGGGCATAATTCTGTCAAAATGCTTGATAGAGTTACCTCCTCCTGTTTACAGGTTGGGGTCATGATGTTGAACAAGTGTGCAAAGTTTCAAAGCCATATGTCAATGGACTTTGAAAATATTTGAACTATTACAAAAAGTTTAACGTAAATTCTAAGTCGAAAAAGGGGCATAATTCTGTCAAAATGCTTGATAGAGTTACCTCCTCCTGTCTACAGGTTGGGGTCATGATGGTGAACAAGTGTGCAAAGTTTCAAAGCCATATGTCAATGGACTTTGAAAATATTTGAAATATTACAAAAACTTTAACGTAAATTCTAAGTCGAAAAAGGGGCATAATTCTGTCAAAATGCTTGATACTATTACCTCCTCCTGTCTACAGGTTGGGGTCATGATGGAGAACAACTGTGCAAAGTTTCAAAGCCATATGTCAATTGACTTTGAAAATATTCAAACTATTACAAAAACTTTAACGTAATTTCTAAGTCGAAAAAGGGCATAATTCTGTCAAAATGCTTGATACAGTTACCTCCTCCTGTCTACAGGTTGGGGTCATGATGGAGAACAAGTGTGCAAAGTTTCAAAGCCATATGTCAATTGACTTTGAAAATATTTGAACTATTACAAAAACTTAAACGTAAATTCTAAGTCGAAAAAGGGGCATAATTCTGTCAAAATGCTTGATAGAGTTACCTCCTCCTGTCTACAGGTTGGGGTCATGATGGTGAACAAGTGTGCAAAGTTTCAAAGCCATATGTCAATTGACTTTGAAAATATTTGAACTATTACAAAAACTTTAACGTAAATTCTAAGTCGAAAAAGGGGCATAATTCTGTCAAAATGCTTGATAGAGTTACCTCCTCCTGTCTACAGGTTGGGGTCATGATGGTGAACAAGTGTGCAAAGTTTCAAAGCCATATGTCTATGGACTTTGAAAATATTTGAACTATTACAAAAACTTTAACATAAGTGATTACGCCGACGCCGACGCTCGGGTGACTGCAATAGCTCTACTTATTCTTATCGAATAGTCGAGCTAAAAATGCTTCAATACTAATCAAACTTGGCACAAATGTTGACTGGACCATTGCCTTTGTAATGACATTCTCAATTTTAAATTTCCTAAACCATGGCAATGAGGGGACATCTCAAAATTGCCATAAATCACTATTTTGCCTTAATTTTTTCCATCGAAATTTATTTCAAAGTGCTGCAACTTCTCAAGGGATTGAGATAGAGTCAAAGGCTTTTCAGCGTTGGCTACACGTTACCTTATGATCGACCTGGGGTCAGTTTTAGCCTGTCACAAGTCCAAAATTTTCTTGGCGATAAGGGGGACTACCGCCCCCCTTTAAACCCCCCAAACAGAACGGGGGCACATCCCCCTTCTGGCAACCTCCTGATGTATCTTTTGGATGGGGGGCGGCGCCGAAAAAGTGCTCACTTTTTTTAGCAACATTTCTCAAACGAAAACATGTGTTTTGGGCCTAAATAGCACATTTTTTCACTATTTGAGGCCTAAAAGAGGGGGGGGGGGGGGGGGGGGAATCGAAAGTGCATTGTTTTGTGTATATATAAGGTAAAGGGTTAAGAAAGGACCAACTTAACTTGTTCCCATACATAGTTTATTCATTCCATTATAAAGTTTATTGGATATGAGACATAATATCTTCATAGATTTTAATGAATTTATTTGATTTAAATGTTTTACTCAAGGATGAGCACAGTATATCTTTAAACTAGTTTATTTCAGTTGATAAAGTGGTAGTTACACAAAATATAGAACATTATTCATTAATGGATTTCTTATAAATATTAAAGCATGATATGTACATAGTACATATTTACTTTGTTATTGTAAATGTTTCAATTATATAATCAATGATTGATTAAAAAGGGTTGTTCGACTTTTTTTGATGATCAATTATGATTTTTGTCCAATTAAGACACCCTAAGGAGTAAGGAATGTAGAATACAGTGTTTCTTTTGCACCAGCATGAATAAATTGACCGCCTATACTGGTGAATATTGTTTGTCAGTGACAAAGAGTTAAATAGCTCAGGGGCCTTATTAAAATTTCTAAGATCAGAGGCAACATGATCATATAACAAATTGGTAAAGAGTCAACTCGGCCCTATACCAACTCGGCACAGGTCAACTCGGCCCACTTTGAAAAAAACAAAACATATCAAACATATTAACTTTTACTGATTATGTTATCAAGGAAAGCTGTTTTAAATGAAAAAAAAACAAAAACAACAGATATCTGGTATATCATTGTATAATTGTACCTTGTATTTCTGCAGAATTAATTTGTATATTTAGAAAAAAAATTGTTATGTTTTATTCTTGCAAAAATTACTATAATGTGTTCCTTTCGATGCATTTTGTTTCAATAAAATATGATATAAAAACTTGTTTACTTATAATATTAAATATTTTAAATGTTTGTTCTTTTAACTTACATACATAAAACAACATGTTATACATTTATTAACATGCAATGAATTTTATTATGTCCCAAGGATGGATTGTATTAAGTTTTTATTACCAAATCATTAAAAACGCTTTCATTACCCAAAAAAAGTCATACTAATTTAAGAAAAAATATGTACACTTTTATGGATAAGTCCAGATATTAATTATGTGGTTCCAACAAAACAAACCAAAATTTTAATAAATTAAAAAGTGGGCCGAGTTGACCCGTGCCAGTGCCGGCAAAATCTGATTTTGACTTACTTGTCCGTTTCTATGTGAAGCATTTTTTAACTTGTCCGTATGATATTTACATAGTTAATTCTTAAAAATCTTCACTTGTCCGTACAGGCTGTGGGACAACCTGGGCAATACGGACAATTGATTTTGCCGGCCCTGCGTGCCGAGTTGGAATAGGGCCGAGCTGATTCGGGGGGCCCCCGAGTACATTTTAGGACCAAGCTGACCCCGATTCTAACATTTCACAAGGGTTATTTATTTGTTATTGTCTTTTATCAGGCTGTTAAAAAGCCTGAAAACAGCTTAAAACATTAAATATATATTTCTTAATTTTTTTTTTCTCACTTTTTTTGTTTATTAAGATTTATATTCAGATACAAATAAAAATAAAAAAAAAATTGGTTTTTTTTTATTTCTTTAAATTTTTTCCCTTTTCAACACAACCCTTCTTTTTCTTTGTTTTGCGCCAGACCCTTTTTTCTATTAAATTTTGGGTTAAAAATTCTGTTTTCTCTTTTATTTTAAAATTCTTGGAAATGAAAATTATCTTTGAAGTTTCCCCTTTAAAAATGAAACATGATGTGGGGTGTTTGGGGCCATGAATTCCTAAAAAATTAAATATATAGATTTACCTTTGCATTTAAAATATTTTTTTAAATTTTTAAAAAATTTTGTTTTTGAAAAAAAAATAAATAATTTCCCCAAAAATGACGTAGCCAAATATATTTCTTTCTGTTTATGTGAAATATTATTCTCTATAAACAAAACAAAGTTTAAAAGAAAATATTTATTACTTTTCTAGAAATATGATTTTTTGTGTCATAAGTCCGATCAGGCATTTTCACCAGCCTGTTTTAGTCCAATATATCAGACGTTACAGGCTTGTTTATAGTTTATGTCGGTCAAGCCTGACGTCTTATAGTTATTGCTCAAAAACGCATAGCATCATAAAAAATTCAAAAAATGTCTATTGTCTTGCCTTTCAAGCTTTATTCAAAAGCTTTTCTTGCCTTTTTTCTTTCAATTTCATGCTCAATCATACACAAAAACTCTCAAACAATTGTACTTATCAATTTAAAATAAAATATAAACATCAATCTATTTTTGTCTATCAGCCATACTGGTTAAGCAAGGTGCTTTACAGATTGATTCCAAATTTTTGAACGGAAAAATATATTCGAGAACACACTGACGGTGCATGGGCAATTATTTCATGAAAAAAATATTCCTTTAGAATGTTCTAAGTAACGCTTGCATTTGAATTAGCCAATAAGATTTGCGCACTGTATGGCCGCCATTTGTTTATCGGCTGTAACAGGAATTTAAATACATGAGAGGATTTAATCATGATTTTTCGGATGTGACAGTTTAATTATTTTGTCCAAAGGTATATATATTTTAGTTTTGTTCATAAATAGGTCAAAATTTATGTAAATACACGCTGTCTTAATTGTTTTTCTTTCTGCCCGATTTTCTGGCGGAACATGCTATGGGTTTTTGAGCAATTACAATATGACGTTGCTTTGCCCAGAAGCAAAAATATCTCAAAGCGATGTCATATTTATAGGACTACAGCCTGTTTATGCATGGACAATCAATCACCATGCATAGACCCAAATGACTTCACTTTTGTGTTCATATATCTTTCAAATATTCTTTCAATTCGAAAATTTTGGATTTTTATTTCATTTACATATGACATATTCATCTGTTCAATGAACTGATGAATAATCAGAATATGGCGCCAACAACGAAAATGTAAACAGAGCACAATTTAATCGACATCTTACAATTATTAAGTTGCAGCATCATTGAAATATTAAACGTCCTTGTTACTTCAAAACAAACAAATCTGAAACAAACTATACACCTTGGTCATTGCACAATAAATCACATCTTCTCAGCAATTTCAAACGTTTTATTTTTCACATTCGCCTTTCCATTATTATTTTTTGCACACTTGTTTGACTTTCAAGAGTCTTTGAAGAATATGTTCTACACCAATCGATACAAAAAAGGAATAATCGCAAAACTGAGAAAATTTAAATAAATGTAGCCCAGCATTCTTCATATTTTGGTACATTGTAGTGTTTGTGAAAAAACATGTATATTGTACATTGTAGATCTCAAGAACGCACCGGTGAAAGTGATCTGAATTGGAACTTTTTATACGTATTGCCAAATTGACACTTAGATTCTGTCTCGTTTATGCATCTGCTTGATTTGAGAATGCAAGTAAAAATCAAGCGTTTAAACGAAAAATACAGGTATTGCTTCTGCACGGGAACTGCTCGCATTCCAGTACTACATGTATAATCTTATCTGTTTGTAAATACTTAAATAAATTGTTATTTAAAGAAAATCTATAGCCTTATAAGATACAACATACCTGGGATGTACTATAACATACGTATCGTATGTTCCAGAACATACAGGCATTTTAAAAGTGTATCATTAAATGTAATGATGTTTCATGTTCAATTCTATCCTATCCCTATCCTTCCTTATCCTATCCTATCCTATCCTATCCCATCCTATCCTATCCTATCCTATCCTATCCTATCCTATCCTATCCTATCCTATTCTAAATTATTCTATTCTATTTTTAATCATTATTCATTATTTATTATTATTTATTCCTATTTTTCAAAATTTGATACTTAGAACACTTAATTCAAAGCCATAAATAACTTTAAATGGAACACTATTGACTTTTGAAACTTATACTTTATACATTTAAAATATCTAAATAACTTAATTAAATCATTCTAGTATCATAATTTTATTATAATGCTTATTTCTAATTTTTTATATATTTTTTCTCTATTAATTTCTCATTCAATTTATTTATATTTACATATATAACATTTGTTAAAGTTAGTTCCTGAAAATGAGTTCCTAAAAATTACTTAAAACTGATTTCTGACTAACATCAGGGAAGGGCCCACGATTATGTTGTTAGAACTTTTGGCCCAACCCTTTTGTATGTACACTTGATTATGTTTGTAAAATTACGAAATTGTATATTGTGTGTATATTTATACAATAAAATATTATTCTATTCTATTCTATTCTATTCTATTCTATTCTATTCTATTCTATTCTATTCTATTCTATTCTATTCTATTCTAAAAAGTAAGTTTTTCAGCCGTAGGTTAACTCAAGTTATACTGTGCACCTCTTAGTTCACTGTAATTAACGTTTTGAAGAAGGAAACCAAACAAGAAGTTACTTTTTAATTCAAAATTATTTTAACAATAACATTTAGAAAATTAATTTTTAATAAACTATTAATTTCGTCTTTTTGCAGAAATGTGTAAAATGTTGAACATATAATTAAATTACGTAAAAATCACAACTTTATTTTTAGTTCCAAAGTAAAAATGTACATACAGTATTTTATATACTTTTTTTTACTAAGATATGTCAATTTTGACACGTCTAGTAAGTCACACTCACATGGAAATGTCCCATTACCATGAAATAAGTGATGATGTGAAACTATTGATGTTGAATATATATCCTGCATATGATATATATCCTGATGATTTGACTCATCAAAGATCATGTGTCTCTGGTGAGATGTATGCCAATCATTTTGGTTAGTAAATAGAGTTGTAGCAAAATACAAGTGGTTTACATATGATCCAAGGATTGGTTTTTATTTCACGACCCACCCTGTTATATTTATTTTCGGTTATGTTTTCGCAAAATCACGAAGCTTAATATATTGTATGTATATCTGTGGCAAAATATAACATTTACTCGACTCCAATCGTCTGCAAATAAACTGTTCGATTAATCTATTATCTCAAAAATGGAATTAAAGGAATCAAGTTTAACTAACTAGACCGGTGTAAATGTAAATATATCCTCTGCAAAATGTTGAGTTTAACATTGAAAGAGGTATTTTTTACTAATTTAATGAAAATATTGAATGTGATATATTGACATCGAAACGAATAAGTGACAATAATACCATTTGATATGGCGTCATATAAATTACATTTCAATTTTCTTATTTTCAAACGATTAGGTTAATTGTTACATAATTTCGCGATATTTTGTGAAGATTTTTAACAATAACATTTTTACTAGATCTATGTCGGTTTAAAAATCCGCTTTTAATTTATACAATTTTTTAAAATTATTTTACTAACTAAAATAAAACAATTTTAAAGTCCTGTTCACGTAAAATATAACTTTAAAATTAAGCATTGTGCAGATTTATTAGCAGCATTCAGTTCTAATTTTATTACATTAAAAAAAAGACTTGGCACTAGAGTAGTCTGAATTGAGTTATGGCTAATTAGCCACCTTGCATATTGTGCTTACATTGCTGATCATGGATGTTTTCAACCTGATTCACAGCGGCATCAGTCCTAAGAAAGACTTCACTTGCAACACTGTAAACTAGGAGCCAGTTTCTATGTCATCCACATCCCTGATTAAGGGATCCCCCTGCTAGAGGGTTAATGATCATATTCTCAGACCTTCCCAAGGGTTCACTCATAGGCAACCAGGTGCCCTGCATGTTACCCCAATTTGCAAGCATTAATGCCAAGACAGGTTTTGTCTGTGCACATTGACTTTATATATTAGGCATTTGTTTATTTAAAGAAATCATTTTTTATGAATTTCAATTTGCAACATAAATTTTCTCTTTTCTTGATTAAGAGAAGTTTTTACATGTAAATATCATTGTCTACAGCTTAATTTGCATTTAATTTTAATAATTTATGGCAAAAACATTCAAAGTAAATAGTTTTCTGAATTACCTCCCTTTAACAGACAGTGTTGATGATACAGGGACAGCTTTCTGTCTTCTAGCTGATAAAAGTCAGCTGCTTTTAAGTCATGGTTCTGGTGAAGAAAGTGCACAGGGCATTTTAGGGGAAAATATTAGCATTTTTAGGGGAAAATATACCTATTTTGTGCTAGGGGAAACAGCCTTTATTCGGCTGTAAAATACAGGGGGAAAAATCACTGCCCAAGAATGATGCGGTGGCTGAACTGAGCTCTGGTTAATTTAATGCGGCTTACTGCCGTGATTCGGAGTTAAAACTACCAACAGCACATATTGCTTGTTGTATTTGCATTTTAGAAGTTTTACATTGCACCAACAGTACACTGGAAATGACAGTTGGCAACTTTCCACCTTAACTGGTGAAAGAAGACCTTAAGGTTACCAACCAATCTTTATTTGAAGCACAACTGGGCATCTGAATAGAACCATCACTATTCTGTTTGTGTTTTATGAAAAGATGCCATAGTTACAATGTATAACATTGATGTTAATACATGTTAAGCTTGACTATTCGATAAGAATATAAAGTAGAGCTATACAAGTCACCCGAGCATCGGCATCAGCGTTACCACTTATGTTCAAGTTTTTGTAACACCTCAAAAATTTTCAAAGTTCATTAACATATGGCTTTGAAACTTTGCACACTTGTTCACCATCATGACCCTAACCTGTAGACCTCAGGAAGTAACTGTATCAAGCATTTTGACAGAATTATGCCCCTTTTTGACTTTAAGTTTGCATACCACCTCAAATATTTTCAAAGTCCATTGGCATATGGCTTTGAAACTTTGCACACTTGTTCACCATCATGACCCCAACCTGTAGATTTCGGGAAAAAAACTGTATCAAGCATTTTGATAGAATTATGCCCCTTTTTGACTTTAAGTTTGCATACCACCTCAAATATTTTCAAAGTTCATTAACATATGGCTTTGAAACTTTGCACACTTGTTCACCATCATGCCCCAACCTGTAGACAGGAGAAGGTAACTCTATCAAGCATTATGACAGAATTATGCCCCTTTTTGACTTAGAATTTACGTTTAAGTTTACGTACCACCTCAGATATTTTCGTATCTCATTGACATTTTGCTTTGAAACAAGTTGAAATTTTATACACTTCTTTGTGAGTATAATAGGACTCTCTCCAATGCCTATAACATGAATTTATAAAAAAAAAAGCCCTGTGAACTTAGAAAATTTTAGATTATCAAGGCCTTTTACTATCAAGCACTTAAAATACGCAAGCGTGCTGTCCTACCGACAGCTTTTGTTGCAAATTCTGATACCATAATACGATTATAGTTTTCTTAAATAGATATTCAGAATTTTACTTGAACCAAGTGCACACTTACATTTGTAACATGCATGTAGTATAGTTTAACAGAAAACCATTAAAATAATGCACAAGACAAAAAGAAAATTTGTTTGCTTTTTGTCAGTTTGAAGATTATATTCATATTTTTTTTTTTTGCTTTACAATGTTAAAAACATTTAAAACTTCCTAGGAAGATATATTTTATAAGGGAAGCAGTGGCCTAGTGGTTAAGGTGTCTGCCTCTTAACCCAGGAATCATGGGTTCGAGCCCAAATTGTGTCACGACCATGTTTCTTCAAATGACACCAGTACTAGTTTGTTCCAGGAAGTGGACTAGAAAGTGATCAATATATAAGTTGTAAGAACTTTTGCAATCAAGCTTAGTTAAATATGTTTTAACCATAATTATATTTTATATGTTGATTAAAAAGCAATCACATGTCACCTATATCTTACGAATTGCAATATTTAAAAATGCGGAAATGTTTCAGGCATTACAACAAGTGAAACAAGGCAAGATATCGGCCAAGGAACTGTGTGAGAAATGTTTACAGAGAGCTGGTAAAGTGAAAGAACTGAATGCTTTCATTACAGACACTCCTGACGTGGCTAGAAAACAATTGCAATCTATACAGAATGGTATGTTAAAACAAGTCAAACGAATGGGATGAACATTATGAACTTTAATGTGTGAAAGTTAATTAACCTTAGTTATTTTAATGGTCAAAAGACCTGTATTGTAACAAAGCATGATGGTATGAAAAGTAAATCTACAAAAACTTGTTCTGATTGTCCGAGGATTGGTCAAGTGACATATTGAGATTTTCAAAGAGTTGTTGGATGATCTGATTAAAACTGGCTTGTGGGATGTTGTACAATATACAATAACCAATAGTTTTGTTTATGGCTTGAACTTGTAAACAAACTTCATGATCAAATAGTGTGAAGTGTATATATCTTGGTGAAGTTTTTGCCCGACTCACCCTAAACGCAGTCTCCTCAGTAATGACCATTGACTGAAGAGCTGAAAAAAAAATCAGTTATGCAGACATTTTTGATTAAGTTTTGAAGTTACAGTTTCCTTTTTTCACGTCTATGTCACAGACGCGTGGGGGTCAGATCCTGCCCCCCAACGTGATACGCCCCTGTAAACACTCTATCAAAACTATTTCAATATTTAAACAGAAATGGGACATCTATTACAGTGGTAAAACTGGTTTTCAGACAATTTTTACATGTATGAAAAAACTAAGGGCTCCACGCAGAGCCGGGAACTCTTCTGGTATTGCTTGAACAGAAAGCAAAATTTACTTTTGGTTTTAGTTAAATTTTGATTTTCATATTAAAATGTGATGTATAAATGTTTATTCTTATTGCATCTAGGAGATAATTCAATATTCTGTTGATTTACACCGGAAAAGTCACGGTAAGATTTATTTAATAATGATTTATAAGGTTTTATTTGTCTATGGTATTCGTGTTTATATTTTGGAGTCTGCAATCTTTACTTTATTGAGACTTGATGCAGGTATACGGTATTTTTTTCATATATGTAAAAATTGTTTGAAAACCTGTTCAATCGTTGTAATAGATGTCCCATTTGTGTTTAAATATTAAAATAGTTTTGATTGAGTGTTTACAGGGGCAGAGTCTGACCCCAAAGCGTCTGTGATCTATGTAAGAATTTTAGGTACATCTAGTTAAAAAGTAATAAAATACAATTTCATTATTTTGTTTTATAATGTTTTAATATAGTGTCTACAGAATGGAAAGGTATACCAGTTGCTGTGAAGGACAATTTTTGTACTACAAACATTAGGACAACGTGTGCGTCTCATATGTTAGAGAATTATATACCACCTTATAATGCCACAGTAGTTCAACGCTTGTATGATCATGGTGCAGTTCTTGTAGGAAAAACAAATTTAGATGAATTTGCTATGGGGTAATATTTTAATTAGTTGTATTTTTCTGATATTATGTCAAAATGATTATTTCTATTTTTTATCAGTTTTAAGTTGGCTGAACAAAGGTAAGCATTAAACTATGAACATTTCTTTACAAATTTGAATAATCAAGAAATTCTTAATAAATGGTGTTTCCATTGACTTTAATTCTAAATATAGATTCCTTTTTTGGTGGTTATTAATGTATACTGAACCAAAAAAGAAACTTTCGCAAATTATGTGCCAGTTGTTTAAGGGTACCACTTCGCAAACCCATTATGTTGGTTTTGTGGTGACGCGGCTCATATCTTATAAATATACACTATTTTGTCTATTGTAAAGGTGTGGTTCTATAGACAGTATTTATGGTCCAGTAAGAAATCCTTGGAATTATTCATTCTCACAAGTTGCTGAGATTGATCAAACTTCACCACAAAATATACAAGATGACAGATTGAGACAGGGAACCAGGGGTATACATACATCTAGTGGACAGAGCCGGGCAACAAATGTCAACGCTGAGAGTAGTCAGGAATGTGATTGGTTTATAGCTGGAGGAAGTTCAGGTGGCAGTGCTGTTGCTGTGGCAACTGGGGCATGTTTTGGGTAAATTACAGATTTCTTTTTTTTTTTTTTTTGATAATTTTTTTTTTTAATCTTTTTTTTTATCAAACTCAAAGAAATGGTTGATTTTTTGATAAAACAACTCCAATATGTGGCTTTTGTCAAGGAATGAATTTCACTCAATTTGTTGATAAAAATACAACTGTTAAAAAAGAAGTTATTCTTACATGTTTATACATACATCAGCAACATATTTACTTGTCTGTAGTTCTTTGAAAATAGTTTTATTTTGTATAAGATTATCCAGACTTGTTAAGAATAATAAACAATTTTTTTAAAAACTTGATATATTTGTAAACTGTATTCTGTAAAATTAACAACTAGATATTTGTTGTAATAATCATAGTACCGGTAATTGATCAGGTATAATTTCTATGTGGTTTGCAAAAATTCAGTTGTACCATGACAAAATTTATGGTATATCCGCTGAAATGTCATTTAATATGCTCATTTTCTTCTCTTGGTAAAATTGAGTAGCATTAGCTATATTTTCAAACGGTTGATTATTTAAATAATGATGATTAACCAAGAATTGATAATGAAAAATTTTAAGGATAAAATATAAAAACTGCCTTGAATAAATAGAATTGCAGCACTATTTTAATGAAGTTAGCCTTACTAATAAATAACAAAAAGGGATATTTATAGAAACTTCCTTTGGTCAGGGGAGCTTTTGATTGTTTTTGCTAAGTAGAATATATTACTGAAAACAATGTTTTTGCTAAGTTGAATAAATTACTGAAAACAATCCAGGCTAAATGTACATGTAGTTATTTTTCATAAATTTGCTTGCAAGTAATTAACTCTTGTGTTATATTTCAGAGCACTAGGTTCAAAATATCATTTTAAAGTGTTACAACTTGTATTACAGAGCACTAGGTTCAGACACAGGAGGGTCAACTCGCAATCCGGCCTCGTACTGTGGTGTGGTAGGTTTGAAGCCAACATATGGTCTAGTATCTAGGTATGGTCTTATACCACTAGTCAATTCTCTAGACGTACCAGGCATTCTAGCAAAAACTGTAGATGATGCTACTATCATACTGAGTAAGTTATCTCCCTTGATGATTTCAGTGATTATAATTTATGCAGATTGGATCTTAAGTATGATTTTTTTTGGAAATCATTATAAATTTGATTTATTTTAATCATCAAAAGTGTTTAATTGGTAAAGCATTTTTATTTAAGTGGTTTGTCTGTAACAATTAACTTAGTTTTGATGAAAAAGTTTGTAATCTATTTATCATAGGTAACTGGTAAATGAGAAATTGTAAGTTAGAAAAAAATCTTTTGGATATATAGCAAAGCAATGTTAGGAACCTTGGTTGTCTCTTGTTGGTGAGGTAATATTTTGGTAGAAATCAATGGCAAAATTGTGTGTCAATTTGATTTCAGAGCTCTAAACACTTTAATATTGATTACAGACAGTATAGCTGGCCATGACAGTCGTGATTCTACAACAGTAACTGATGAGTTTAAACCTACACCTCTAGATGATACTCCCTCTTTACAAGGTCTGCATGTTGGAATACCAATGGTAAATGTCTATATACTTCATTGTAATATATTTGTTATGTGAAAAGATAAGCTGCTTTTGTGGTCAAGTTGTTTATTTGATTGATCTTAATTTGCTTTTATCTCATAGATATATGTATGTATCAAATAATGGTGTTTTTATTATACCAGATAGCTTTTAAAGGCCAAACCTTTGATTGAGATATGATGTAAAAATTCGTGGACTTTTTAAATATCTCTTGAACGTCAACGTGTATTGTAATGAAAATTTATCAGCATACATTGTAGAATATTATCAACACGTTTTGAAAGGAACAGCTAATTGTGTCAATAAATAATAATTTTATATTTCTTTTAAATAAGCACATATACGGCCCCGGCGCACGGTATAAAAGCGCAGTAAATCATTGTATATCTCTTGCTAAAAAACTAAAAAATTAGCGTAGAAAACCCGCTGAACATCGCATGTTTCTTCTATGATGTCATTTAAGTAATTCTTTAAAATAATGGACGTCATTTCCTTTATTTTTGTTGATATCGCTAGAAACGCCAGACGCTTTTATTGTTTATAACAGGGAAATGACGGACACGCGGTAATTAGAAAATCGCACGACCATAAAAGATCATAAATTTTTGTTGTAATTTGGAAATGACACCTACAAAACATTTGATAAAAATCAGCAGACGAACAGAGAAAAGAAATTTTCACGATCATTAGTGTTAAAGTAACATAAAAAATTAGTGATGGACATTACTTTGAGAAGCAGTAACCGTCATTGACTGCGTAACGTTGAAGCACAAGTTGTACGTTAATATAATAACATTGACGTCAATATCCTTTTGGAGTGCGCCGCTGTCGCCGACATGTGTTTATATAAGATTAAATATTGTTGTAATGTAAGAAGCTACTCACATGAATTTTTCTGTGTTTATTTGTTATTAATTCTTCTAAGCAGTGTAAGAATTTCAAATTAATATCTCAAATATATTTTACGCAACAACGAAAGTCCACGAATTTTTGGATAACCCCTTGTATATATTTTATTATTTCAGGAATATAATGCCCCAGGGTTGAGTGATGAGGTGAAGTCAACATGGAGTGATGTGACGGACATGTTAGAGAAGGGCGGGGCACGTGTAACACAGGTGTCTATGCCACATACACAATATTCCATCAACACATACAGCATACTGTGTGCATGTGAGGTCGCCTCTAATATGGCAAGATATGATGGCATTGAATTTGGTAAATTTTCACAATTTAATTGTTTGATGTTTGGTTTATGCTAAATAAGAGCTTAATATTAAAGGAACTCCACTGAGGTTCAAAAGCCTAAAAACATAAAATTTGAATTTCTTTCTTAGATCAGCAGAGGCACTTAAAACAGAAAGACGTGCAAAAGATGATTAAGATTAAAATATCTGAAGTAATTGGATTTTTTATCAAATAAAGAAAAAAGTGAGTTGTAAATTGACTTTCACAAATTTGTGTCAATATTGCATTTCTTTTTTCCACAATTTTAGGTAAAACAACACTTAAAATTCACAATTATGTAAAATCGTTCTTTGTCTTTCATAAATCAACAAGGCCCAGGCCCCTTCACAATTAAGAGAAAAAAGCCCTGATATCTGTTGAATTGCTGACTTTTTTTATCCTAGTAACTGTTAAGCCACATCATCGGAACAACAACAAAAAACCTGCAGGCTTCTTTACAGAGTTAAATCAGTAAGTTTTATATAATAATTAAATCTCATCATATTGTTTATATTAAAGGTCATAGAGCAGATAATGATACCTCAACAGAAGCTTTATATGCTCAGAGCAGACATGAAGGTTTCAATGATGTTGTCAGAGGAAGAATATTTGCTGGGAACTACTTTTTACTTCGGGAGTAAGTTGTTTCTTTCCAAAATGTAATACACATAAAAATGTAGGTCCGTTCCAGTTTTAAGTCGCACCAAATTGTTATGGGCAATTAGGTAATAGCGTGATTTACTGTTGGAGGAGTTCTTCAGGTAAGTAGAACCACTGCCCTTCAGTAAGTTAGCTTTGTAGTTGCTAGCTACCTTTCATGAAAAAATCCAGTCTTTTGGGAGATTTGAACACACAGTGGTGAGTGGTAAGTCCATAAATACATGTACCACATTCAGCAGGGACATTAATTTTAAATCCATTCATGAATAAATGAATGTTACATATTTGAAATTACACTTATTTTATAAAATGAGTTTTAAAGTCAAAAGATTTCAAAGGAATTACTAATTAGATCTACCAGAATGTTTTTTATGCATCTTGTAGAGATTCACTGTAAGGGTTGAATGGTTTGCTTTCTTCTCTATTGAGTGTTAATTAATAATTAATTATTGATAATTAATCATTGAATGAGGTAATATAGTCTTCATGATAAAAGTTACATCTTATATTTACTGTGCAAACTAAGGTTCATCAGATGCTGGAAATAATTATCTTTCAGCAGTGAAGCAGGAAAAATACCCTTATTAGACCGACTTAAAACTTTACCCCCCCCCCCCCAAAAAAAAAAAACACGACAAAACCAACATAATGGGTTTGCGACCAGCATGGATCCAGATCAGTCTGATCAGGATCCATGCTGTTCACTATCAGTTTTGCTACTTGTAATAAGGTTGGTAAGCTAACAGCATGGATCCTGGTTAGACTGCGCGGATGCGCAGGCTTGTCTGGATCAATGCTGGTCGCAAGCCCACTTTGTTGGTTTTGTCATGGTGCGGCTCATATATATATACAGTGCAAATCACAGTTGTAATTAGCTTGCTTGGTGCAAATTTGTTGTGACTCATTTAAGACAAAAAAGGATAACCATTTTGTGCTGCATGTACAAGATTTCATATACATGTACATGTAATTATAAATGATTATTGAAGTTATATTTGAACATGTGATTGCAAAATGACATGCATAAAAATACGAAAGTTAAGCAAATTTTTATGCGATAGTGTGATATAATGTGTACTTGTTTTACTTCAGAAACTATGAGAGATATTTCAAGAAGGCTTTACGGATGAGGCGTTTGATAAGTAATGACTTTATAAATGTGTACAAATCTGGTGTAGATGTATTGTTAACTCCGACCACCTTGACAGTGGCGCCCTCTTACAGCTGGTTCTCTAAAGCTGATAATAGAACACGTACAGCCGAACAAGATGTGTGTACACAGCCGATTAATATGGCAGGTATGTGGATAGTTACATGATATTGCTCCATGAAATTTTTCAAGGTGGAGCATATAATTGCAAGTTTGTCCCACTATCCTTATATCATACTTACCTATTGTTTTCATAGCACCTACATTTAATGACTGATACCTTAGGTATTTGATATGTTGATATTTTTCACAGACCTCTACCTACTGGGTCAATTGAGTCATGTTTACTGAGACTTAACATGGTTACTGAGGTTTTCTACATTTTGTCATAATAAGGTATATTTCAAACAACTATCCATCAATGTTAAAGGGTTAATCATCACATGATTTCCTTCCTTTCTGTAAACATAGTTTTCAAAATATGTTATGTAGTACTTTTAAAATACAAACCAAAGACTGACATATGTTGATCATTATTTCTAGACTTATTTCCATTTCTATCCATGCCAATTCCTTTGAGAATTTAAAAGTAATAACTCACTGATTTCATTTCTTTCAATATTGCAATTAACAAAATCTCTTTCAAGTGATAATATGTAAAAACAAAATGTTACAAAGAAGGCAATAATCGGCAGCACTTAGGTTTTTAGCTCACCTGACCACGAAGTGGTCATGGTGAGGTATAGTGATGGGGCTATGTCCGGCGTGCGTCGTCGTGCGTTGTGCGTCGTTCGTCGTCAACAATTGGGTTGTTAACAGTCTAGCAGTCACAGTTTTGATTGGATCATTATCAAACTTTGTCAGAATGTTTGTCTCAATGAAATACAGATCGAGTTCGAAGATGGGTTATCTCTGGTCAAAAACTAGGTCACAGGAGCTAAAAATAGAAAAAGCTTGTTAACACTCTAGAGGCTGCAGTTTTCATCCAAATATTCTGGAAATTTGTCAGGAAGGTTGTTTTGATGATATCTAGGTCAAGTTTGAAGATGGGTCATCTCCGATCAAAAACTAGGTCACAGGAGCTAAAAATAGAAAAAGCTTGTTAACACTCTAACAATTTGGTTGTTAACAGTCTAGCAGTCACAGTTTTGATTGGATCATTATCAAACTTTGTCAGAATGTTTGTCTCAATGAAATACAGATCGAGTTCGAAGATGGGTTATCTCGGGTCAAAAACTAGGTCACAGGAGCTAAAAATAGAAAAAGCTTGTTAACACTCTAGAGGCTGCAGTTTTCATCCAAATATTCTGGAAATCTGTCAGAAAGGTTGTTTTAATAATATCTAGGTCAAGTTCGAAGATGGGTCATCTCGGGTCAAAAACTAGGTCACAGGAGCTAAAAATAGAAAAAGCTTGTTAACACAGTAGTGGCTGCAGTTTTCATCCAAATATTCTGGAAATTTGTCAGGAAGGTAGTTTTGATGATATCTAGGTCAAGTTCGAAAATGGGTCATCTCCGGTCAAAAACTAGGTCACAGGAGCTAAAAATAGAAAAAGCTTGTTAACACTCTGGTGGCTGCAGTTTTCATCCAAATATTCTGGAAATTAGTAAGGAAAGTTGTTTTGATGATTTCTAGGCCAAGTTCGAAGATGGGTCATCTCCGGTCAAAAACTAGGTCACAGGAGCTAAAAATAGAAAAAGCTTGTTAACACTCTAGAGGCTGCAGTTTTCATCCAAATATTTTGGAAATTTGTCAGAAAAGTTGTTTTAATAATATCTAGGTCAAGTTCGAAGATGGGTCATCTCGGGTCAAAAACTAGGTCACAGGAGCTAAAAATAGAAAAAGCTTGTTAACACTCTAGTGGCTGCAGTTTTCATCCAAATATTCTGGAAATTTGTCAGGAAGGTTGTTTTGATGATTTCTAGGTCAAGTTCGAAGATGGGTCATCTCCGGTCAAAAACTAGGTCACAGGAGCTAAAAATAGAAAAAGCTTGTTAACACTCTAGTGGCTGCAGTTTTCATCCAAATATTCTGGAAATTTGTCAGGAAGGTTGTTTTGATGATTTCTAGGTCAAGTTTGAAGATGGGTCATCTCCGGTCAAAAACTAGGTCACAGGAGCTAAAAATAGAAAAAGCTTGTTAACACTCTAGTGGCTGCAGTTTTCATCCAAATATTCTGGAAATTTGTCAGGAAGGTTGTTTTGATGATTTCTAGGTCAAGTTCGAAGATGGGTCATCTCTGGTCAAAAACTAGGTCACAGGAGCTAAAAATAGAAAAAGCTTGTTAACACTCTAGTGGCTGCAGTTTTCATCCAAATATTCTGGAAATTAGTCAGGAAAGTTGTTTTGATGATTTCTAGGTCAAGTTTGAAGATGGGTCTTCTCGGGTCAAAAACTAGGTCACAGGAGCTAAAAATAGAAAAATCTTGTTAACACTCTAGTGGCTGCAGTTTTCTTCCAAACATTCTGGAAATTTGTCAGGAAGGTTGTTTTGATGATTTCAAGGTCAAGTTCGAAGATGGGTCATCTCAGGTCAAAAACTAGGTCACAGGAGCTAAAAATAGAAAAGCTTGTTAACACTCAAGTTGCTGCAGTTTTCATCTAAATATTCTGGAAATTTGTCAAGAAGGTTGTTTTGATGATTTCTAGGTCAAGTTCGAGGATGGGTCATCTCTGGTCAAAAACTAGGTCACAGGAGCTAAAAATAGAAAAAGCTTGTTAACACTCTAGTGGCTGCAGTTTTCATCCAAATATTCTGAAAATTAGTCAGGAAAGTTGTTTTGATGATTTCTAGGTCAAGTTCGAAGATGGGTCATCTCGGGTCAAAAACTAGGTCACAGGAGCTAAAAATAGAAAAAGCTTGTTAACACAGTAGTGGCTGCAGTTTTCATCCAAATATTCTGGAAATTTGTCAGGAAGGTTGTTTTGATGATATCTTTGTCAAGTTCGAAAATGGGTCATCTCCGGGCAAAAACTAGGTCACAGGAGCTAAAAATAGAAAAGCTTGTTAACACTCTGGTGGCTGCAGTTTTCATCCAAATATTCTGGAAATTAGTAAGGAAAGTTGTTTTGATGATTTCTAGGTCAAGTTCGAAGATGGGTCATCTCCGGTCAAAAACTAGGTCACAGGAGCTAAAAATAGAAAAAGCTTGTTAACACTCTAGAGGCTGCAGTTTTCATCCAAATATTTTGGAAATTTGTCAGGAAGGTTGTTTTAATAATATCTAGGTCAAGTTCGAAGATGGGTCATCTCGGGTCAAAAACTAGGTCACAGGAGCTAAAAATAGAAAAAGCTTGTTAACACTCTAGTGGCTGCAGTTTTCATCCAAATATTCTGGAAATTTGTCAGGAAGGTTGTTTTGATGATAGCTAGGTCAAGTTCGAAGATGGGTCATCTCAGGTCAAAAACTAGGTCACAGGAGCTAAAAATAGAAAAAGCTTGTTAACACTCTAGTGGCTGCAGTTTTCATCCAAATATTCTGGAAATTTGTCAGGAAAGTTGTTTTGATGATTTCTAGGTCAGGTTCGAAGATGGGTCATCTCCGGTCAAAAACTAGGTCACAGGAGCTAAAAATAGAAAAATCTTGTTAACACTCTAGTGGCTGCAGTTTTCATCCAAATATTCTGGCAATTTGTCAGGTAGGTTGTTTTGATGATTTCAAGGTCAAGTTCGAAGATGGGTCATCTCTGGTCAAAAACTAGGTCACAGGAGCTAAAAATAGAAAAAGCTTGTTAACACTCTAGTGGCTGCAGTTTTCATCCAAATATTCTGGAAATTAGTCAGGAAAGTTGTTTTGATGATTTCTAGGTCAAGTTTGAAGATGGGTCTTCTCGGGTCAAAAACTAGGTCACAGGAGCTAAAAATAGAAAAATCTTGTTAACACTCTAGTGGCTGCAGTTTTCTTCCAAACATTCTGGAAATTTGTCAGGAAGGTTGTTTTGATGATTTCTAGGTCAAGTTTCGAAGATGGGTCATCTCAGGTCAAAAACTAGGTCACAGGAGCTAAAAATAGAAAAGCTTGTTAACACTCAAGTTGCTGCAGTTTTCATCTAAATATTCTGGAAATTTGTCAAGAAGGTTGTTTTGATGATTTCTAGGTCAAGTTCGAGGATGGGTCATCTCCGGTCAAAAACTAGGTCACAGGAGCTAAAAATAGAAAAATCTTGTTAACACTCTAGTGGCTGCAGTTTTGATCCAAATATTCTGGAAATTTGTCAGGAAGGTTGTTTTGATGATTTCTAGGTCAAGTTCGAAGATGGGTCATCTCCGGTCAAAAACTAGGTCACAGGAGCTAAAAATAGAAAAATCTTTTTAACACTCTAGTGGCTGCAGTTTTGATCCAAATTTCCTGGAAATTGGTCAGGAATGTTGTTTTGATGATTTCTAGGTCAAGTTTGAATATGGGTCTTGTCCGGTCAAAAATTAGGTCACATTGCCCAATTATGGAAAAATCTTTATAACACACTAGAGGTCACATGTTTGACTCAGTTGTCATCAAACTCGGCCATGATGCTTGTTTAAGACATTGCTTGGATGCGGTTGTGTCAGGTGAGCGATCCAGGGCCATCATGGCCCTCTTGTTTTTTAACTCACCTGAGCATATGCTCAGGGTGAGCTATTAGGATCACTCTTCGTCCGTCGTCCGTTGTCCGTTGACACTTTTAAAACGACATCTCCTCTGAAACAATAAGGCAGATCATAATGAAACTTCACAGGGATGTTCCTTGTGTGAAGCCTTAACAAAGTTGTTCAAAGAATTCCATTCCATGCAGAACTCTGGTTGCCATGGCAACCAAAAGAAAAAACTTTAAATATCTTCTTCTGAAAAACCCAAAGAGCTAGAGCTTAGATATTTGGCATGAAACATCTTCTAGTGAGTGTCTACAAAGTTTGTTCAAATAAAAGCCCTGGGGTCAAAATTGGCCCCGTCCCAGGGGACATTGATTTTCCTTATATGTGTATAGCAAAAACTTAAAAATCTTCTTTGAAAAAACCTGAATAGCTAGAGTTCAGATATTAAGCATGAAACATTGTCTAGTAAGTGTCTACAAAGATTGTTCAAATAAAAGCCCTGGGGTCAAAACTGGCCCTGCCCCAGGTGTGTCATTGTTTTTAACTATATGTGTAAAGAAAAAAACTTGAAAAAATCTTCTTTTAAAAAACCCAACAAGCTAGACCTTAGATGTTTAGCATGAAACATCTTCTAATGGGTGTCAACCAAGTTTGTTCAAATAAAAGCCCTGGGGTTTAAACTGGCCCCGCTCCGGGGGCCTATATACAGGTGAGCGACTTTAGGGCCATCATGGCCCTCTTGTTTTAATTTATAAGAAAATTTAGAACAGATTTGTGCATGGAATCTTAGGGAGATACTCTTGAATTTAATTTCTGTCCAAAACTTACAAAAGAAAGACAACTGCATGTAAAAGATTCCACATCCGATAATTTGATTGTCTCTCTTCTTATTGGACCTCTTTATAATTTTTTATGCGTTTTATTGCACAAAAGACATTATATATTTCAGGTGTGCCAGCAGTGTCAATACCAGTGAGAGTATCAGCCTCAGGCCTACCTGTTAGTCTTCAAATTATAGGACAAAATTTCCAAGACCATAAAATGCTGACCGTAGCCAAGTGGATAGAACAAAATGTGAACTTTCAAAGACTGAATCTAGAACATTTAGATCTGGAAACTTGATTTGTTATACGTTTATTTACTATTAATGCAATATTCAATGATTTTGATAAACAATAAAATTGTATGTTTGTTTTTGTTTGTTTGTTTTTTTATGCCCCAAGCATATAGTAATTGAACCATCCCTTTTGTCTGTCTGTACGAGGATTATCTAAACCAGCAAGTCGGATATATCAAGTTCTACGCAGTAATCAATACAAAATACATGATCCTGGCAAGTAACATAACTACGGCTTCCATTTTTTCCCTAGTTATTTCCTTAGCACTTTGAAAATGGATATGGTTAACCTAAACCAGCAAGTATGAAATACATGTATCTAAAGTTCTATCTAAACTAATGGCTTCATATTTTACATATTTTAATACTTATCAATACAAAGTACAAATAACAAAGTTATATAACTGTGCCATCCATTTTTCCAGTTATATAGGGCCTTTATGGTTCACCTATTCTGCAAGTTGGATTTATCTTAAATTTTAAAATAATCTGGTTTCCTTCAGGAACTTCGATTTCAATACATTAAGTGTTGAAGATTCAGCTGGTAAGGGTTGCAAGATTTATTTTTTGGAAAACACAGCAGTAACAGTCTATGATTTACTGCCACTATCACAGAGGTGACCTATACAAATGCATTCCAAGAAAACAACAAACACAACCATACATAGTTAATGTTCTCCTTTATTTATGGTAACAGTATCATTATATCATCAAAATAGAATCCAAATATGAATAAATCAATAAATAAAATCTATGTAATATACACAACCAATCACCAGATGATTAATGTATATGTAAACAGTGTGCCCAAACCATGTAATGTTTATGTCTATATGTCTAATGTTTATGTCTATTCAAAACCCTCGGCAATCTTTTTCATACTAGTCCTTGTACTATGTTCTTTCTCTTTTGTATCATAGGCAAAAATAAAAACACGTTCCTTGTTGTCACTATTAACCCCCCCCCCCCCCCCCAAAAAAAAAAGTAACCAATGTACGAGCATCTGAATATGACTTTTCTATCGTTATCACCTTCCCTGTCGTCACAATAGGTAAACCCCCAAAAAATGAACCGGTCAACGAGCATGCTCTAGACAGACAGTGAGTGCGGGTAACTAATACCTATACTAGTTAACACACTGCATGTATTGGTATACATTTTAACTCTGACACGTTTTCAATAGTAAAGTCTGCAAACTGATACGAGTCTACAATATAGCATTTATGCCTATACATGTATATGGTGGGAAATTCTTTTTGCAGTATATTCTCATTTATCAAGGCTTATCAAAGCCTTTGTATGTTGTGTCAAAACAATAAACAACAATTGGAAGCCTTGGCAAGGGAGTACTAAAAACGCCATCTCATTGCACAAGGTATCACCTTACCACTTAACTAAGCCATGTAACTTTACAGTTTTCAGAGAAGATAAGCAGTAAATGGTATAGGTATTTTTTCTACCATATTTCTAAAACAGACATAACAATCACATGGCATGGGCACACTTGTACTGAGCACATACAAAAATATGCACCATTCATTAATAATATTTACTCTATTCAAAATAATTCAACACATATGACTACAAAAACACAAGTCAAAAACAAAAATTATTTTGATTTCAGACCTTTCTCCAAAATTTATTTGATATGCTCTTTAATTCTTAAGTTCAAATTAATTTTGCTTAATATTACAATTTATAATTTTGAAATCATTGGTCAATGTCAAATCTGGAAATTTAGGGCCAACCATTTTTGTATGGTCTTTAAATCCAAAGTTGTGAAGCCTTGTGTCCAAGGATTTTGTATTTATTTAACCCATTACCAGATATATACGCCTTTCTACGCCTTTTGCACCCCCCCCCCCTTTTTTGCTTTCTCAAATGATGAAAAAATGACTTATTTAGGCCCCAAAACACTTGTTTTTGTTTGAGAAATGTTGTTTAAAATATTGACCACTTTTTCGGCGCGGCCCCCCATCCAAAAGATACATCAGGGGGTTGCCAGAAGGGGGATGTGCCCTCTTCTGTTTGGGGGGTTTTAAGGGGGGCGGAGTCCCCCTCATCGCCAAGAAAATTTTGGACTTGTGGGAGGCTAAAAATGGCCCCAGGTCGATCATAAGGTAACGTGTAACCAATACTGAAAAGCCTTTGACTCTATCTCAATCCATTGAGAAGTGGCAGCACTTTGAAATTAATTTTGATGGAAAAAATCAACGCAAAATAGTGATTTTTGGCAATTTTGAGATGTCCCCTAGTTGCCATGGTAACAGGAAATTTCAGACTGAGCATGTTGTTACAAAGGCAATGGTCCAGTCAACATTTGTGCCAAGTTTGATTAGTATTGAAGCAGTTTTTATAGTTTTATAGCAACTTGAACTTGTAAAGGGAGACTTTTCAATGAAAACAGCCATTTTTCACAAAATGCTCATGGGGTAATGGGTTAAAACATAAAATAAAAAATCATTCAATTTTATATATTATACATGTACAATACTATTTCAGGAAATAAAGATGCCATTAAGACTAGTCTTCAAGTTTGACAAAAGAAGATAAAACAAACATTGAAAGATATGATAGTGTTTCTGTAAAATTTAATGAAAGTCTGATATTTTGATAATACAGCAACAAAGAATACTATTTAATTTTTAAGCACAAAAACATTTCATAGCTGCAGAAAGCCCTTATTAAATTTCAAAGCAGAAATTTACTACAAGAAAAATATCTGTAAAATTTAACAACTACACATCACATTCAGGTATTTTCTAATGTTAATATGGTAAATAATTAAATCTTCGAATGACATGAAAAGAAAAAACATTAATGAAACAAAACAGCACTTTAATGCATTTTACAGCTCACAAAACACTCAATATTGGTCCTGAAGTTCTAAAAATAGATAACATTTCTATAATTAGATGGCATGTCTATAAATAGATGGCACTAAAGACTTCTGATGAACATCCCAAACTATATACAGAGAAACAGGTTTCTATGGAAATGCATCAGGCAATTATAACCATTGGCTACCAATACTGAGTGAAGGGTAGGGGAATTAGGGGAGTTTTTACCTTTTGTCTGCCACCACACTGCCATGTAAATGCAGTGGCTTTCTTAAGGCGCTAAAATGGCCATGAATATGTGAAAATCCCAGTGCTAGGGCTCTTAGTGAGGATTTTACCATATGACTGTTTCAGCAGTCTGGTACATTTTTAGATGTTTGAAAATCGTAGTCAGAGTTCTTGCTATTCCCAGTGGGATTAAGGAGCCAAGGTAAGAACTGACTGGTGCATTCTGTTGTCATAAAAGAATAAACATGTATATATAGTTCTTACACCTACATTAATTTCCCAAATTTCTTGCTTGGTGCTCATAATAAAAGGGTTATTCTAGGACAGGTGAACCGAGTGTTAGAATAACATTAGTGGGTTGGGTGGGGTAAAATATCTATGAGTTTCCCATGATGCAGTACTATAATGTTATATACCATACTCACATTGTCTTCTATATAACTTAGTTTGTTACAGGAGATGGTTAAGTTTGACATAAATTCATATACATAATTACCCACAACAAATGCGTCAATTACTTTAACAAATAACAACATTACTAAGTCAAAACAATAGACACAGATTAACTTATTACTTATTGTTAACATTTCCTGCCATAAAAGCATCACCAAACATATATGGCTAACAATAGTACATATATAAACAAGAGCAAATTATTTGAAATAAGCCCTTTGTTTAGTATGACTGGATGACTTCAATGTATAATTCAGACATAAAATTCGATTCTTGTTTGTACTTTGTAGCAAGAACTTTTGGCAACTTTTTCATAATGCTGGAATAAAACAAAAAACAATATTGTGTTTTTCCAAATAATGAAAAAAATCACTTAACAAGTATTACATGTATATATAACATAACAAACCTGGAATTGAATCATAATTGTTTTACAATTAAGATTTGGCCAATAACAAAATAACAAAACAATAAGATATTTATAACAATTATTGGAGATACTGCAGTATTTCCACCTTACAGGAACATGTATTAGGTTTTTTCAAATGGAAAACAGTCCCTTTTCCATTTTTTCATTATCAATAAATGTAACAATAAAAATTTAGTTTCAACTTTACGTACAACATTCACGGATATATCATCTTTTTTATCATAAACTTTTTACTGATTAACATGCAAGTCACACAAAAAATGTCAATAATTCTATAGCTCTTATAAAGTGAACTACATGTTATTTTATAACAAGCTTAAACTAAAAACTAAGCAATTTTTTTATACAAAATGTACATGCAGTCCCTTACATTTAAACTAGAGATCAGTTTGACACAATATACAAACGTCTTGACAATTAATTATTTACATATTAAGAATTGTTAGTGCGGTTAACCTTTAACCTTCTGAATTTCTTAAATGAACTTGTCCAACTTCCATTTTTGAAATTGTCCATTATAAACTTTAGGGATCTTTTGATAAAAAGTTTGTCAGACAACAGTATACATCATAAATAGTCAGACTGGCCTAGCTTTATTCTAGTGGCAGATGGTAATCACTTTCAGATTCAGAATGACAAGTTTACAGTATCTTAGACTATGTTTCATACCTTCCTTTTCCTAAAATTTTTATTCCTGACCTGTGATTCTATTTCTAACAAGACTCATTTATCTCTCATAGAAATTTTTCATTGAGACAGAAAATGAAATAAACTTTATAGTTTATAGATATGTAAGAACACATTAAAGACTGTTCATCATAATTATGTAAAAACAATAAGAGATAAAATTGTATTATTTGACTATGAAGAAGTATATTTGTGCATTTGAAATGGAAATAAACATACAAATAGAAAAAAATAGAATCCCTAAAGAACGCCAAAAATGGCAAAAATATTAAATGTTGCAAGCTCGGTTTGATTGAGTCTGCTTATATTCCAAGTCTATTGCTTTATTGTAAGAATTTTTTTTCCAGAATTTCAAGCCATTTCCTTGGTTTGAACTTTACATATTGAAGTATATTATGTACATTATTTTATACTCCTTTCATTTGACATGAAAGACTAAATGGGTAAAAATTAGGTGCATAGTGTCAAATAGTTTACAGACATTTAGAGTTTGTTAACTTTGGCTACCTGATGCCTTATATTCTGAAAGAAATAATTTTTTTTGTTCGTTTTTCAAACCATAGGTTCCAGAAAGTCTCTCATTAGAACTTCTTCAATATACTGCTGACTAGACTTGCTGTCCGATGATGCTGCTTCTATTTTTGGACTTTGACTGACTGGGAAAGCTGGAACTGATTTTGACTTGGGTATTCCTTGACCAATGGAATTCTTTGTCTCAAACTGGAGGGAAGTTGTCATTTCTCCATGCCCATTGGTTAAATTTTTAGACTGGTTATGTGAACTGCTGGCTCCAAGCTGCCTTACAGCCCTAAATAGATTATCAGTCTGATTAGCCAGACACAAGGTGTTAAAGAAGGGCTGTAACTCTTGTAGTGATCTCAAATGTGTAAAAGTCAGCAATGGTCTGCCTGGTACCATCTTCATCATAGGAATATCTCCCTGTAACTGAAAACATAAGATGTACAAATCATTCAAGTCTGTCAATACAGTATAACTTATAGTATTACATTATGTATACTTTATCTCTTTTTATCCCCATCTTATTAAAATAACACATTTTCGACCATGTCTTAGCAGTCAGCCCACCTAACAAGCTTTCCTTGATAACTTACCAGTAATTACTCACTTCTTCAGCTTCCTATCCAACATGACTTCTGAATCAAAAGTGAGAGATAAACAGTGTTTCTTCCAGAGCGCGTTTTTGCATTTTTGACGCATTTTTTACTGCCTTGACGCAATAACACTCAATTTGTGCGTTTCCAGTGACGCAGCTATTTATTCTCCATTAATTTATAGTAAATCTCAAATTATGACAATTTCAAATCCATTGCAAACTATTTAACAAATTAAAATACAAATCATGCACTGCTTTGATTTTACGACTTAAAACCTTTCAATTTAATTGTCCGTTAATCAGACAAAATTTCCCTTTCATGCATCCAAGAGGACAATATAATTATATCCAATTATTGTCCACTTTTCTATCAATTAATTATCCAATTTTTAAAACAAACTCGTATGTACTACACAACTCTCTTTTAATTGTTACACACTTTAGCTGTATACAGTACTGCTAGTGACGTAGCTATACGACCAAATATGGAAAGGATGATGCAACTGTGTAAACAACTGCCTTGCTGATTAAGATTTAAAGTTGTCAGTACATATTAAGCTGCATGAATTACAGTAGCTAGCTGGGGGTAATTAAATTCATTAAAGAATTTTTTTTCTTCTGTTTATAGATTCTTCAAATTATTTTTATGCAACATTTTCTTTTCTATTCATCTATTATTTTTCAATGGCTGAATGATTTATAGTTGTCAGACCCTCAAAAACTTCAAGTGACCCCTAAAATCTGATACAGGGGGTCAAAAATGACCCCCAAAAAATTGGAACTGGATAAATGACAATTTGACTCAATGTCTAAGATCAATTGTCCTGAGGAAATTTCACTTAACCCAAGGATCAAATCAGTGACCCCTGTATTATAAATCAGATGTAAATCAACAAACAAAAAGTATACAACAATCCTAATGGTTCAAGTTTTTAAACTACAAAATTTTTTTGACTTTGTCAATTATGATCAAAGACAATAATGCAAAGACAACAATGGAGTCGACAGTCATACACTTGCATAAGGTAAATCGTACTTCTTTGTTGAGCAGTGATTGCCTGAAAAAAAACACCATATTTTCAGCAAAAGTTTGAATAATTTCTCCCAGTGTTTTTTTTTCTCAAAGACACTCACCTTAGTATTTAGAAGTTTAGCTAGTCTTATGATATGAGGTTTAAACTGCTGTCGTCCTCTAGGATTTTGTTTTCCTCTTGTTTCTTTCTGCTTGGTTTTGTCTTCTTCTTCTATGTCTTCTTCACCTTCCCCAGCTGCTGCACCACCAATAAATGCCCAACGATATCTGAAAGGTAACAATTATTGTGGCTTATATTTATAATGACAGTCGATGCCATTATAAATATTCTTGCATATTAGCCTGGATTATCTACCATTAACATGGTGTTAGAAAAACCTTTCTTACACCCCCCATGTAAGACAAGTCGCGTGCTTTAAATGACGTCATTGCCACATGCCTTTTATGAATGAATTGCGTTCTTAAGATGACTCCATTTTACTGTTATGAATGAAGTTGTAAGTTTATATGCTACTATAACAAAAAAGTGCATAATGCGTATTGCAGTTTTCGTAATTTCTGTTCTGAAAGTATTTGATATGTAATATGCAAGAAAAAGAATCAAACACCGACTGTCAGTACAGACAGTAATATCTAGCTCTTGGGTAACTGTTAAGCCGAAACTCAGCAGAGCCTCTTTACTGCAGTAAACAGTTACCCATGTGCTAGATATTTTGGTCTGTACCACAAGCCAGTGTAAGATTCTTATAATCTTTAAGATTCTTCCCTTTTTGCTAAATGACTTAATTTAAATATCAATACCATTTTCAGAACAGATATTAGAAACTTTTGCAGTGGGGTCTTTGGCCGAGGGGCATTTTGTCTTCAGATTTCATACCACCTGCCCTGTCAATGCTATAGATAACAATCCCACCAGGAACTTTGGATTCATTAGGTTGTCCAGCTAGTTTATAGAATGTTGTTAGTTTTACTTGGTGTCACTCTGTGCGTGAAATAATGCATGGACACTTTAGGTCTTCCTCCACCAGTAAAGCTTGAAAGTCCCAGTATGACCTTTAGAAATACATGTACATGAAATAATGCAATGAGGGGCACACCTGTATTCTTCCTCAAATACTGAAAGCAATTAAGTCAATGAACACTTACAGTTGAAACTGAGGGACTGTATCAGCTGGTAGAGACAAACATAGGTCCAGTAGTTTACAGGCACTCAGATATAACTGCATCCATGATGGATTATTGTGGGCATTTAAGCCATTACCAAGGTGAGCCCAGCTCGAGTCCAAGGCTGCAATACGTTGAACTTGTGTCCTACAAATATATTAAAGATTTCTTTTATAAACATGATAATCATCTTATTTTTTAATTCTGATGTCTTACATGCAGATTTAATATAATTATACATGGTTAACCGTTTAGAAAAGGGGTGTAACAAAGCCATTTATCAAATCTTATCCAAAAACATATCAATGTTGGTGGTATTAATAAAAAGAAAACTGCTACAGAAGGTTAATCTCTTAAACATTTAAGTAAAAAGATTATTGAATATTAATAATATTTGGGCTAAAATTTGTTTTAAAAGAGAAATAAGGATGTTAAAACATTTTTCTTTCTTTCTGAGGTAAATTCCTGAGGTAAAATTGAAAAGGAATCTTAGGGTGTGGTATTTAATTATTTGTCAGTTGTTAGTGACTCAATCAAGAAATACAGGCAATTCAGCAAACTAATTGTTTCATTTAGCAAAAACTAGCAAGCATTGCTGCCTCCTGGAAATTATAGTTAAAGTATCACTTATCACAGGTTTATGAAAGTCTGGCAAATAAATTCCAATTCCGTGCTTTATTGTTTTTTGTTTTTTTCTTCTTCTCTTTTATTATTCTATTTAAACACATGTTTTAAGTCATAACCTCAAAACTTTCCTGGATAACTATCCAGTAACTACCAATATCTTTGCAAGTGACCGACTACTCATCCCAAACAATTTCTAAATCAGCAGTGGGAGATAAATGACCTTTAGACTAGACGTCTAAAACAATTGTCACAGGGAAATTACGCCTGGCCTTAGGATCAACCCAGCAATCCATGAATTAGTAATCCAATGCTCTCCCTACTTATATAAGACTGTATGCAATGGTCTTAAAATATAGATCAGCAATGATCTTAGAATATACATCAGCAATGGTCTTAGAATATACATCAGCCATGGTCTTAGAATATACATCAGCAATGGTCTTACAACATATGTCAGCAATGACGTTAGTTTTACGTCAGCAATGTACTTAACATGTACATCAGAAATGGTTTTAGAATATACATCAGCAATGATCTTAGAATATACATCAGTAATGGTCTTAGAATATACATAAGCAATGGTCTTAGAATATACATCAGCAATGGTCTTATAAAATACATCAGCAATGGTCTGAGAATATATGTCAGCATAATCTTAAAATCTATGTCAGCAATGATCTTAGAATCTATGTCAGCATTCGTCTTAGACTATACATCAGCAATGGTCTTATAAAATACATCAGCAATGGTCTTAGAATATATGTCAGCAATGATCTTAGAATCTATGTCAGCAATGGTCTTAGAATCTATGTCAGCAATGATCTTAGAATAAATGTCAGCATTCGTCTTAGACTATACATCAGCAATGGTCTTATAATCTATGTCAGCATTCATCTTAGACTATACATCAGCAATGGTCTTATAAAATACATCAGCAATGGTCTTAGAATATATGTCAGCAATGATCTTAGAATCTATGTCAGCATTTGTCTTAGAATCTATGTCAGCAATGGTCTTAGAATGAACATCGGCAATGGTCTTAGAATATACATTATAAATAATACATGCATCATGCAAATGAATTACAACATTCATACTTTTATCTTGCCCGATTCTCTAAAAATAAATGTCTTTTTTTCTCTGGTTATGAAATTCAAGAATATTGGCAAGTGTAAATACTTTTTAGGGATCTTAACCAAACTTTTACACAATGATAATGGTTATCAAAAGCTGGTGCCTTTATTGTCAGGTGTCAGGTTTTTATGATGTAATTATTTTTGGCAGAATTATGACGTTTTGGACCCCCCCCCTCCTACACACACCATTTGTCCTATAAGCTGAACATGATTTTGTGATCTTGTTACTATCACTTGTTTTCAATCAAACTTTGTTCATTAATCTTTGAGAGTCATTTATCATACCCTGTAACTAGGAAAATTTGGAATATTCTTTGTAATGACTTTGGAACTGGCCATGTCTCTATACATTGACATATGCTAGTATTGCTGATAAAACAAGATTATACATATTGTATTCAACATTAAACTTATTCACATCTCACAGTTAAGGGTGAGTGAAAAAGATTTACAGACATTGTGAGAGACAATAAAGCACCAATAGAAGCCAGTCAGTGATTGAAATATATTCAAACATTATATACAATCAAACCACTATTATTTTAATTAGAATGTTAATATATAAATGTAAATAACTAAATATTTACACTGTTTCATTTATTTTCCTGTTAAAGATATAAAAATTATATATTTTCTATAAAATTATTATAAACTCTTGATTAAGCCAAGAGTTTTAACAAAATTTACATAGAAAAATAATACAATAACTAACAAAAACCAAATAAATAACAGAACATTGTAAATTACTGCCAAAATTAATTATAACCACAAAAAACAACATAAAAATACAATGTATGTACATTTAGTTGAGATCTTGTGATGGACAATACCTTGATTATATGTTGCAGTACATGAAATGTGAAATCATTTAACATAACAACTGTACAATTATACTTCCAGTCTTCAAATTTTCAATGAAATATTTTTTATTTTAATGTATGTCAATTAGGTAAAAGTAAAACAATTAAAGGTTTTATGCCTCAGAAATACATATTTTTTAATCCTTTTAGAAATGTCAGCAATGTTTTTAATAATCGCCATGCTTTTGACATAGTTTTGTTACTCCAACAATGGATTAAGATAAGAGCATGTTAGAAAAAGTAGCATTAAACCTGCAGTGATGTGTAATAAAGGTAGCAAAATGTGAACAAAGTAGTAATTTGACTTCCATACAAAATAATAATTCGCTCTAATTGCCAAAAGAGCAAAATGGCATAGTTCATCTAAATCACAAATGAGTAATGTTTTGGAAACTGTACCAAGATATCAAAAATATAAAGTTTTTGAGAAATACAATGCATAATGGACCTTTAAATACAACTTATATCATGAATTATTACAAACTTCCAATTCCTGGTAGTGTTTCATATCAGGATATGGGGGTTCAATTTACCCTTGATCTTTTTACATACAATCTATTTTTCTTACATAGTTTTACCGTTCTAATAATTTTTTCATTAACGCTAGTTTGGAAGTACAGTTATTCATGTATATGATTTTACAGAGCATGTACAATACTTAATTGTGACTGCAACTCAGAAATAGATGGAAAAAAAACGGTGACATACTTCAAGGTTCAAGGTCAGTAAAATGGTTATAAATAGAAAAAAAAATGGAGAAAATAAAGGAGTAACTATTGACAACAGGAATCTACACATCTGTATACCTGGTACTTGCGGGCATAGAGCGGCTGTTATAAAAATGCAAACAACGTTAAATAAAGCATTCAATAAAATCATCCAGAAGGGTTCTTTCAATCAAACAATTAAGGAAAATTGTAAATAAAACCATTCTACAAGAAATATGTCGTATGTTTAACTTTCAAACTCCTTAAATATCTATACAATTTATATGAACCTTTTTTTATATGAAATTCTATAATAAATCATTGTCAACACATACAAAAAGATAAAAAGACCCATTATTTAAACTGTCTTTACAGTACTGAAGCTTGTTTTTCAGATTCAAATTAACACAAATGATAAAACATATTCAGTTCTATTTCAAAATACTTAAAGTTAAAAAGCTTATTGTTAGAAATCATACACTGAAAAGTATTGACTAAAAAGACCTGTCTCCCTACTTTTCTCAATGCTGGATACTATAATTAAGGAAAGTAGAAAAGGGGGATAACTCTGCAAAAGAATTATCTGCTCTTGACAGCAAACAAGTTATATTTTATTATTTGAAGTGTATAACTGTATATCTGTAATGGTGAGGTTTTTGAAAAAGAAATAATGATAAAATTCTAAGAAAAAAGGGAGATAATAAAGCAAAATTGAATTTCAAGGTTATCTGCCCTTTAGAGATGCATAGTGAACAAGTAATCTAAGTCAATGATAGCTTTTGATAAGTGAAACTTAACAAAATATTTACCAAGAAATTTAAAGTTTAAAAGGGACATAACTGAGCAAAATTAATACCAAAGTTATCTGCCCCTTAAAATGGATTCAAACTTATCATTGAACATCTGACAGTGTTTGAGAAATGAACCTTAACACAATGTTTGACCATGGCAATAAAAAGGGGCATACCAGATTAACTTTGCAAAATGAAGGATTATTTGACCTTGTATTATGGCATCACATTTTAAGAAAGTATACAAGACATGGATTTTAAAGCTTTCATAGTTTCTAAGAAAATGGACACAAACAAAAAGGTCAACTAACACCACTGCTAATGCCAAAGAGAACGTCATGATAATAGCTTGGCTTTTTGTAGAATAATGAAGACTTTGACTTACGATTGTATTAGGGTTAATGATAAAAAATATGCTGCTTATGTGATAATTAACTGTCATTATCAACTACACATAAAGCAATATGATTACATATCAGTCACTCTAATTGAAATTCATACATCTTTATACATGTACCTATATTTCTATAAAAACCTTGACATTTTTTGACTGACCTAATGATTCTTTGGATTTTTATATACACTTGCTGTGTAAATGTAAATTGTACGGTAAATTGTTTGACGAAAAATGACTTAGTTTGTATGGAAAAGATAGAAAATTAATATGTTTTTCTCTGATACTGTTTTTAAATAAAATGCCTGTTATATTAGCCATTGGCTAATTTGAGGTTGGTGTATTTTGCATTATACTCATATTAAGCAAAGACCAACAATCAAAGAAGCCCTTATCAATATTCAGTGTATATGTATTATATTGCTACAATGTCAAATGGTTAATAAACAAGAACAAGGAGATAACTTACACAAATTCTTCTGTTTCTGTGGATAGTTCTTGTTCAATTTGTAGGAATACATGGATCTGAAAATGATGTAACTATTTATAGAACATGTCTCTATTTATAGAACTATGTATCTATTTATAGAGCCATGTATCTATTTATAGAATGAAATTTACAAATTTAGAATGTTACTCACAGTTATTCACTGCTGGAAAATATTCATTAACAGCTACTGTCACACAATTTACATATTTTTTTTTTATAGAGACCATAATGATGAAAAATCTACTCCATTTTTATTGTGATGAAAAATCTAATCCATTTTTATATCCATTTTTATTGAGACTATAATTCCATTTTTATTTAGACTATAATGATGAAAAATCTACTCCATTTTTATTATGATGAAAAATCTGATCCATTTTTATATCCATTTTTATTGAGACCATAAATTGAAAAATATTTGTAATTGCATACAAAAAAAATATATTATTAACTGAACTTGAATTTAATTTGAAAGGAAACTTTAACCATACATCCTACATTTTTTGTAGTACGAAAATTATAAGTGAATTAAGTAATTACATACCAATTCTGTAATAATTGTAGGCCACATGGATGTGAGATGTTGAGGGGAGACTCGTAACATGAGTACACGGAAACATAGAAACACTTGTGCCATAACAGACGGTGCCTGTGGTATACGTAAACTCTCAGCTAACTTCTCTACAAAATATGTAAAAATTTCATGTAATATAAATGAGTATAAAGTATAAAGATTAACGCTTTTATTGCCTCCTTTAATCAGGATACGAAATAACTTATCACATTAACCATTTAAACAATATTACACAAGTGTAATAACGATTCAAATTCCACATTTACATTATACAAACATTGCATAAAAACATGCAAAATGTTAACTTTACTGGGCAGGAACCAGTTTCCGGACAGAATTCGAGTTTTTTTAATTGTCTATTTTCTAATAATAAACATGCATTAATAAAACTAACACACCAAAAACCTGAGCTCTAACTACGTCCGATAACACAATTAATACTGCCTGGTGACGTAAGCAATGTACAAACTGAAGGATTAAATTAGGTCATCAAAAGTGTAAATTGTTCACTCTTGCATAACCAGTTTCCGGACATATATTAAGCTGCTATTCAAATCTGTTTTTAACTGATAATTATTCTAAGAAAACAAAAAAATTTCTTCTCACATATTAGCTTTCTTATATAATTAAGCTGATTTACTGAAAAATATTTATGATAGGAAAAATAACGATCACGCGATGGGTCTCGGAATGACTTAAAAGTGAAACGGATATTTTTGTTTGTACGGCAGCAACGAAGTGCGAAAGTGGAGTGTACCTAGCTAAACACCGTTTTCCAATACGTTACAGATTTAGCTCTGGGGATTACACCTGATGAACTTAGAATGAAGTACATTGTGCATTAAATGCTACCCCAAATTATATCCCGAAATAAACAAAATATTGCGCATGCGCAGAACAAATTACATGCCCCAAAGGGATATAAAGCTGTTTTTAAAACACAGGTAAGATATCCTCACGAAATTTTAATGACGTATCAACTTGGAAGGAAGTTTATTTTCTCAAACAATCAAACCAAGACATTTTCATGACATATAATACCGATCGTCATCGATAAAGACAAAATTAAGCCGTTATAATACTTGTCCGGAAACTGGTATTGTCCGGAAACTGGTTCCTGCCCAGTACACTGAAGGCATGCCAATGAAAAATTATTCATTTTTTTGTTAACTTTAAACTATAGGCATGGAAATTAAGATTTTTCTTCTTTATTCATTGTAAATATTTCTTACTTTGTGTAAGGTAAAAATTTGAAATTAGAAATAGTCATGTTATCTTAACATATTTTAATTTTTTTTCTCCCAACTTAACTGATGACCACCTACCTTGTATTTCTGGTATAGATTTCTGATATTGGTCGGACTCGCTACAGAACACTGTAAATGCCAGTCTCTTCAACATGCCGGCCTTCTGATCTATCTCTTGTTCCTTATTGCTGAACAAATTCAGTGAGCCAGTCTGTGCCATTGATACCCTAGCTGTAATGTAAAATTATTTTGTTTTTGTATAAAAGAGATTAAAATTATTTTGTTTTTGTATCAAACAGATTAAAATTGTAAAAAGACAAAAACTATCAACTTAAAGAACTATACTAACTACATTGTATCACTTATGTAAACCAAACAGACAATTTTTTTTTTCAAAACTAGATTGAATAAGTTTGACCTAATCCTAAAACGCCTACATTTAAAGCAGATCTTTTATTCAACTTTCTAAATAAGTCTTTTCTCATACATTCCTTTGAGATCTTTATCATACCATACCATGAAATCTTAGCAGGGCTCACGCTGGCGGTCGCCATAGTCGCCATTTGCGATTATTTTATAAGATTGGCGATTATTTTTGCATTTTGGCTACAAAATCTGGCGATTATTTTTTACTTCCAACAGTGTATAATTATATAAGGTGTAAAAATCGATAAAGAATGCAGTAGACCAATTAACACCAGCGGGGTGGATTTAATTGAGTGTCAACTTTTTATCGGTCAAGTGCTGCTTACCATATTGCCTAAGGTGATAAAAATACATGCAAGATGTAAAAGTGTATAAGTACAGTTAGTACTTTAAAGACATTGTCCAGCATTATAATAGCCATCAAATATACGTCAATTAGCCACAAAAAATGGTCTTCAAATTGATAAACTGGATATTGACCAACCCAAAATTTACCGTTTATTGCAGTAATGGCAAATTTTGAAATTTTTTGTTTTAAGCTGCTTAACTAAATCGCCAGTGGAAAACAATGATAAAATATTTAAAAAGTATTAACTTCCTAACAACTTTTTGCACAACAACCAAAATTGTGAATATTTGTTCAGAAAACAGGAAAAATTCCGATTGTCACATATTTTCGCGACACCGATAATTTTGACCTAGATCTACTCCAGTTCTGTGTGAAATGTGGAAATTGACAGGGGTTATAGCTGACAAAATTTGATTGGAACAAACAAAAGAAATTGTATGATAAAAGCATTATGTAAATTTATGATGAATCTTTAATATTATTGATATACAGTAATTATACTATGTAACATTTTTATTCTGTTCTATAATAACAATTAAAGTTGTGGTATGAGTTTGCAAGTGTTAGTGATCAATATACACAAATGACTATCAGTTTATTTGAGAATCCTTAAGTTTTATATGTTATGTTTATTTAATGTTGTTAATTGCTAAATCGTGAATAGTCCGCTGAACTTTTGGCTATTATTATTTTAAGTTAAAAATATTGGCTATTATTTTATTTGAGCCAGTGTGAGCCCTGCTTAGTCTTGCAATATTCCACTGCACAAGACATTTGTTAGCATTTTATTGTCCTACGAGAGTTGTGTCCTACATTTTACCACTCCATGGGACTTTTTAATGCATTGTACCACCCCATGAGATTAACTTTGTCATACAATATACCACCCCAAAAGACCTAAATCAAAATCATTAACCATCCCATGAGATCTTTTTTTTTAAACATTATACCATTCCTCTTTCACATACCAATGATATATTATCAAGTTACATAATCCTCTGATTCATCAGATTTGTATTTTGTAATATATTCAAACCTACCCATGAGATCTTTGTATGTGGTTTTATCATGAGTCATGAGATTATCTACGATGGTAACCCAGTATCCTATACTCTCCATGTCCATCTGGAAGAAGCTGGTATCCAGCAGCAAGTCCAGGGCCTCTCTTCTCCATGCTTTCCTTGTATACTGGTAACTACTGATTGATGACAGGAACTGCGAGGCCACTCGTATACTGGGGAGATTATTTGTACTGAAAACAAAGAAATAGCATATCTCTTTATAAATTTTTAATATTGTATGTGTTCCTATTTTGACATAAATTATTATTTGCAACAAGAATCTACAATATTTATGTTTTGCAATCCTTATGAAAAGTTAAATCTGTAATATGTTACCTTAGTGCAGTACCGGGTTAACTCCTTACATCATTTAATAGAAGTTAACCCATTACTGCACTAAGATGACCATATATGACCTTAATTTACAGAGGTATGCATGGAAAGTAAAACATAAAATATAAATAGATATGTAAACCTTTCAATTAGCTACCTAGACATGCCTAGCATGTGAAAACTTAAACTGAGCTTCAAAGATCAGTCTGGCAAGTAAAACCTGAAGTTAAGTTACAGAAAATTGCCTGGAATGTTAAACCTAAAATTGCTTTGACGATGACAAATCAACTTCAATTTTTTACCACTGGAAACTTTACTCTGAGAGACTTACTTGTGGCTTTTGAGATAAGGGAATATATTATAGAGTAGTGTTGTAAGGAATGTAGGAACTTTGTCTTTCTCTTCACTTGTATATATAACATCTAGTAATGGTGCAGTTATCTGTAAATAATAAATGATAATTTTATCTATAATCTGCACAATTAAATATTGTACAATGATAAACAAGTCTTAAAAACACATTTAACTAGTAATATCTCTTGTTCATTGACCATCACATTTTACACTTCAGTACTATTAAAAGTTAAACTGTTTTTTAGAGAATCAAAAATACAAGTTAGAATGTCAGTATACATTTGTATATTATCTATCCAGATTCTTGATGCCACTATTCCTCCAGATTCTTGATGCCACTATTCCTTGTGAATCTCATGTAAAACTTCTAGGTATTGAAATAGATTCCCTATTAAATTTTGATATTCATATCTCAAATGTTTGTAAAAAGTCAGCAAGACAAATTAATGTATTAACCAGACTATGTCCTCTACTTAATCTGGATGCAAAAATTCTTATATACAAAAGTTTTATCAGATCCAACTTTAATTTCTGCCCTTTAGTCTGGCATTTTTGTAGCAAAGACAATACAAACAAATTGGAAAAACTTCAACATAGAGCTCTGAAAATTGTTTTTAATGACTATTCATCAACTTATGAAGATCTGCTTAAACTGACCAATATGTCAACACTCCATATCAGTAGAATTAAACAACTTGCTATTGAAGTCTTTAAATGTCTTAACAGCATTTCACCTAAGTATGTTCAAGAACTTGTTAATGTGCGTTCATCAAATTATAATTTTAGATACCAAAATACATTAGATGTACCTAAAGTACACACAACCAATTATGGTAAAAAGAGTTTTCGCTTTGAAGCATCTAAAATCTGGAATAGTTTACCTAATGATCTAAGATGTACATCTGACTTCAATGAGTTTAAACAACTAATTGAAACATGGAGTTATGCCTGTTTGTAACAAGTGTGCCTGCTCTATGTGCATTTAATCTTTTTTCAAGTTTATGTTCTATTTCACTTGATTCCTGTTTTTGCTTGTAAATAAATTTAGTTATCTTTTCCTTGAATTATGTACTATGTATTTGTATATATGTAAAACCCTGTTATACTATACCTTCATTAGACATGAATGTATTTTCATTGTAAATGCTCAGATTTCATTACAATGACTCTATGAATTAATTGTATGTATTATTATCTTAACGGTGTCTGTTTATTTTTGTTTCTTTGTTTCTTATCATTATTTTCTATATTTTTGTTCATGTCGGATACAAGCTTAAAGCTTATGTTTTGTACTGTTAACCATAACCGACTATAAATAAAGTTTGTCTTACTGTCTTACTGTCTACAAATATAAATCCTTTATAGAATCAGCATCTCTTTTTATTGTTTTTTTTTCTTCTTATAATTACAACATTTTAACCACTGACTGCATATATACAAAGATTCACCTATATGTATACATACATATACTGGTGGTATATATCGTCACCTTAGTGCAATAACAGATTAACTCCTATGAAATAACATAAGAACTTAACGTGTTACTGCACTAAAATGACAATATAAGATATGATAACAGCTAGAATTTACAGAGAAATAATCAATTTATGTTTACCTCTGCCAAAGCAGCTAAGGCCTGTACACTGTATTTACTGTCAGCAGAATTAACTGATGTAGGTTCTAGTTCAACGACTCTCCTCTCCATTACCACAGAATCTGTAACAAAAATAACAATATCAAAATATAATAATCTCTATTAAATAAGTAGTGTTATAAAAGCCAATCTTAATAAATATGTTAACTTATTATTGAGTGGTTGTTTTACAGATGTAAACTTTGATAATTTATATGTTGTAAGATATGTATGAATATTTTTACGACAACAATGTTAATAAAATGTTCTTCTTCTATTGAAAAATCTTATTTTTGAAAAAAGCTATAGTAAAACATGCTTCAATTCAACAAAATAACATTTAATTTTTCAGGACAGTATATGATTTCACTAAGAAAAGTAAATGTAGTGCAAAACAAATATAGAACAGACTTATAGGATATTACTAGTATATATAGATAGTAAAACTTCTTATGTAATGAAAAACTCTAACTCTGACTATTTTTCTCTCATTATTATTTTATTTACAAATCTTTCAGTACAAATCTTTTTTAAAACTGTAATTACAAATATATAGAAAACAACAAAACTATTTCTGATAACCTAATTCTGGTACCTACCATCATCATTCTGGTTCCCATCTTCGGGTTCGTCAGACTGTGGCCCGGGTTTTACAGCATAGTTTTTCCTCAGCCATGTTGTCTGCTCAAGACTGGAACCAGCTATATTTGAGACTGCTTCCAGTAATTTCTGAGCAATTTCCTGGATTTCCCGCTTTTTCTTATCAACCATTGAAGGTGTCTTCTGTACAAACTCATTTAGTATGCTGCAAAAAAGGAGAGGAAAATTACACATTCCTTAAATCTACACAGGGCAACATTTTTCATTACATTTATATCAGTTACAATTGTCATATGCCTAAAGTATTACAAAAATCGAAACAAAGTCATTATTTCATTTTAAAATCTTCTAGCCCAGATGGCACTTTTTTGTACATATACTTAAGTTATTGGAACATTTACTTACAACATGTAAATATAAAATCTTACAGTCATGAATTGTCATTTCTTATTGAAATTTTATCAAATACATACAGGATAGCTTTCTTCAGGGACAACTTTGATCCTTTTACTGTTTCATTACTAATGCTAGCACAGGCTAGCACATTCATAAATCTAGTCTGATAGATATCTTGTAGAAACTTACAGTAGAAGAAGAAATTGTCCGGGAGCTACAAGATTTAGTTGTAGACAATCTTTGAGAAGACTGGACAAAGATGACCATGAATCTACCAGCTGATTGGCTGATGTCCTCTGTACATATGCATAAAA